AAGAAATTATGATTGATTTGCAAAATGATGTTGAAGCAAAGATTTTGTATACACAGGATAATATTGAATGTTTTTGGGTAAATAATAGACACAGATATAAAATGCTTTGGAATGAGATCAAGTTATTAATTATGGCATTTCCAACTTCTTATCTTGTAGAAAAAGGATTTAGTGCTATTGTACAGTTATTGTCCAAACAAAGAAATCGGTTACAATTAACACAAAAAGGTGATTTACGATTACTTTTGACAAATTTCGAACCAAAGATAAACAAATTGGCTCAATTTCATCAGCCTCAAGGTTCGCACTAACAATAATTTTTCTGTATACTTAAACATTTTATATTCAATAAAAAGTGTTTCATTTTTTTATATTTGTTAAATTTGTTAATACTTATGTTTTTTAACTTTGTTAATTATATTAAAATCTTATACGTATTCTGAATAAATAAATGTTTAATTTTTTTACAAATTATATAATTATGAAATAAACTAATAAACCCAACGAAATTTTTTTCGAATTGAAGATGGCGATACTACGTAACGGTTTTATTGAAGGGGGCGATACTACGTAACGGTTTTATTGAAGGGGGCGACGATTCGTTAGAGGTTGAGAAACACTGATCTATACCCTGTTTGAAGCTTAATAACTTCCGTGCTTTTGGTCGAAAATTTCTGAAATTTTGAAGGAAGGTTTGTTTATTAAGAAGATTGATGCTATTAAATTTTGGTGGTTAAAGGGCGACGGGTGAAGAGATAATGGTGGTCGTGTGTATCTGCAGTAGAGTAAAATCGTCATTAAGTCCGACCCTATTTATAAGCATATACGATTTTTTATTAAACTCATCCCCATTCTCAAAATTAAGCTTTTTGCTACTTTATAAAATATAAAAAGTTTTTTAATAAAATATGATAACAGATGACGCCACCAAAATTTTAAATGTTGCCGGAAAAGTTAATCAACTCGTTGCTGGTTTATTTCTATTCTTGTTCCGTTGTATAAACAGTGAAGAAGAAAAAGAATATCGCATGGAAAGAAAGTCAACAAACTTTGCATTATAAGCAACTGAAATATAAGTAAGGATACAAAGTAACAGTTAATTGTTTATTTAATTTTTAATATTGTGTAAACTTTTAAGAGTTAGACTAATTGTTTGTTTAATTGTTTATATAATTCATATATATATAATTGGAACTATTAGTTTACTATTTGACTTTTCAAATTTTATGAAATTATTCTTTTGTAATTTAAATTTTTCAGAAGAATAAAAATGTTCGATTTATTCTATTTTTTACTCCGAAAATTAAACTAATTTACATAGCAATTAATGAGTTTTGCTTTAAAGAACTGTGTAGACTAGAAATTCGTGCAAAGATGAATGGCAGACATTTTGTCATATGCTTACTGTATGTGACTCTTAACGATAAATTTTCCATTTATGCTAACGATATAACGTTCGAAACTGACGACTACTTCGAAGAATATTATGATGATTATACTGCCGATACGTTTAGAGCAAAGGAAACAGGTACCAAAACTTCGTTTACCGAAGAAGAAAGGGAAGACATTTTAGACTTAAGTAATCTTTATAGGAACAGCACTAATCCCACAGCTGCAGATATGCTCAAACTGGTAAGAACTGTTATTCTTTCATTCTTTTGAAACTAAGGTGGCGTTTTTCCCATGCCCTTCCGACAATAGGGTATTCAAGACCCAATATATTTTGGACGGACCACTTTTGAAAAATTTCTGAGGCTGTTCGTCTGGATTAGATTTCGGGTTCCCCAGAGCGGTAGGTTGCAGTCTTCGGTCATCCGGTCATTATCTAAATTACATTTATGATAGTCTTTATTGTTTTGTAGCAATGCGTGACTCGTGTCATATTAAGGACCGGAAGCAATGTACAATTATTGCGTCCCTTAGAGAGATTGTTTACGTGACAATAGTATCTTCGCAATGAATTGTCAATAGGATAAATACAGTTGTCAGAATGTACTGTAACTTGATCAATCCAACGTACTACAGTTATTGCTGTAATTGGTGGTTCTGAATGAAAATTGGTACACAAGTACTATTCGGCTTGTACTCGGGATGTATTGAAAAATTTATGTAGTAAATTGGAATATTGATATACAGGGTACTATAGAAATATTTTTTATACAATTGCCTTCAAAGAATTAGTATTATTATATTATTGTTTTCTTTCAGCACTCTATCTAAAGGTTTTTGGATCAGCTATTGTGTTAGATACAATGTTTTTTACATCTCATAATCAGCAATTAATTAAAATCATCTTTAATTCTTACTATCTAAGAAATATATATATATATATATATTTTTTTTTTTTCTTCTTTTCAGTACTGGAGTGATGCATTAGCAAAATTGGCTGACCGTTGGTCAAGTCAATGTAAGGTGTATGAAAGTGGTGGACCAAGAGATTGTTTCGAGTTCATTGGTCAGAACATTTACGTAGGGTTTAAATCATATGAAGCTGCCTTAAATGATTGGTATGATGAAAGACATTTGTATGATTACAAAAATTATTCGTGTGCAATAAAGGATAAATGTAATAATTATCTTAATGTAAGATATATTAATAATTTAAATTCATTAAACAATTTATTTTCCTTAAATTGTTCTGTTAACTACGTACTATATTAAATATATAATTGTTTTGGTGTAGATGGTATCGGCTGAAACTCATTCTGTAGGTTGCTCGATAAGAGATTGTTCCAGGACTGGATATAAGTATCTGATAGTTTGCAATTATTATCCAAAGTAAGGCTTTAACGTATTGTTTTAGCGTAATAAGGCAATTATTTTACAGTTAAAAATTTACGATTCGGATGACCGAAGCGGTTGGGACGCAGCACTTTGGAAGACCTGGATTGGAAATTCAGGGGTTATTTCACGGTTCTGTATGGATTGGTTGGGTGGTGAGGACGTATCAGGGGCAGACCGCCTATGGAATAATTATTTTTTCCTTCAAATAATGAACTGATACAAAAACTCGTGCCATTATATTAAAGCCATTAAGCTTGTGATAAAGAAAAGACATTGATCTTGATTCCACCGAATAATAATAATATTATAGTCATTTTTTTAAGCATGGACCACCCTGTATATTAATGACCACTGGGCACTAAGAGAGCTTGCTGAAAAGGTTCTTCTAATACGAAAATGAACAACAGTATATATATATATATATATACTGTTGTTCATTTTCAAAAAAGTAATATATATATATATATATATATTACTTTTTTCGCCTAGTGAGGACTGAGAGCCTTATTTATATATAATTCTTCTTCGATAGAAATAATATTATTATTAATAATCATTACGTGTATTCTGAAAATTTATTTTTAATATATTTTTAACGTATTTTATCACAGGTTTAATAGCTCAAAGACGAAACATCCTTACTCAAAAGGATTATCGTGTGAATCATGTGTCGCGAAAACAATATGTGTTAACAGTTTGTGTGGTCGGTACAAATTTTTTTATTTATAATTAAGACAATGTAATATTCGTTTAAATATTATACTATTTTAATATAATAATTAACCCTTCCTCGATCACAAAAATATTTACTTTTCAGAATTATATAAGCCACAAGTACCAGAAGACGATTTGCAAACCTGTTGTAAGTATTAAATATAAACCTAATCTTAAAAAAAATCAATGAAATAAATATCACAACAAATTTTAAATTTTCTTCTAAATTATTAATATTTATTTTTATTTTTAGCTGGATTCATACAGCAAAGTAATATACAAACAGTATTTACATTGGGACTAGTAATTCCAATGATATTTTACAGAATTCCTATTACAGAATGAGAGAAAATATGCCAACATTCTAAAATATTTTATTTTTCATACATGTAATTTTGACTTGTGATAAATAAAAAATGTAATAATTTATATTTTATTTATTTATTTTATTTTTTATTCTTTCGGCTACTAAGAGCACAAAATTTGTGGTGGCGCTAGTGAAATGTAAACAATATGGCTACATATTGAGGATAACGCGTGTGAATAACTTTTAAATTTTATATTAAACAATGGTTCGATATTGCTCTGTGTCCCAGTGCAGATATATTTGTAAACAGGAAGATTATTAAAATGAACAGAAAAAACACTTTTAAAACTTCCTGGTAGAAAGTAAAAAAAAAGAAAAAAAGTATAGAAGGTATAATGAAGTGGATTGTCTGCTCAGTAGTGGAATAAAAAGTTACACAGTATAAGCTATGGCTGTTATTTGTAAACAAAGACATTTTGAATCACAATGCTGGGCTGCAATTTTTAATTAGGCTCTCGGCCTCAAATTAGTAGTGTCTTGCCCCCTGTACATCATACTTTTCCGTTAGCAATGAAGTCGTGTCGGTCATCTATTAACTGCTTTCAGGGAAAAATTTTTGAATTGAAACCACATTACTTGTATACTTGTTTTTTCTTTATAATACAGTACAATATGTTCCATACGTAATTAACAAACTGTATTATATAGGATAGTTTTACATGATTTTTTTAGAATTCATCACGGTAGTAAAGTTAAATAGATATATTTTATTTTTGGAGACTTGAAGAGCTGGTTTAGTAAAAATTAAGTAAATACTTACCTAATCTTTACTAAACAAGGCAAGCCAAAATAGCAAACCAAGTCTTTAATATGAGATCACAAATGAAAATCGATAAACCACTTCACTGATCGCTTTCGTTGGCAGAACAGGTAAGGATTATTACATTGGCTGCCTGACAAGATTCATTTGCCTCAGACAGCCATTGATAACTCATTAAGACAAGTAAAGATTATTATAAATGCCGCTGATGTGTCAGTTGTCAAACAGCAATATGCAAAATTCGTAGCGGGAAGCTTAAAATAATTAAATAAAAAATGAAGCCAAAATAGGAGCAATAGTAACAACGGGTGGCTTTACATTGTAGAAAATTATGGTGTGTACCACATGCTTGCTTCAGTGAATATCGCAATTTTCTAGGCTCATGCTACCGATAACTACAAAAAATCTTACACATTATAATATTTATTCTTATCTTCAGTACATTCTTTACAAGTATTAACCATAATTTCATAAATAAGCAAATTTTAATTTCGGCAAACGTTTGACGCCATTCAAATACAATACTGGTATTTAGATAGCGTCAATGGTGNTCACCGACTCACTACTGGTAGACTTTTCTAGTCATTCCTTATCCTTCTTTCTCTCTCTGTTAGTAATAGTATTAGGTTTAATTTTAGTTGTAATTGTCATAGTTTAAGCGGGTTACTCATATTCTAATTTGTCGCGAGAAGGTTGAACGAGAGATGAGACTCTTTAATTCTATATATATAATTGGTTCAGTGACGGGCATTCAAACCTCTGTCTATTTATTCAACTAATAAAGTGATTAATCTTTATTTGCTGTCGTCCATACTTTCACAGTATAAAATTGCAATAATTACTATATCTGTAGAAACGTGCTGTGAAGACGTAATAATCCCAAAATACATAAAACGCAAAAAGCTGTGTTCGAAATTTATAGTATTCGATTTTCGCCTGAGGATGCAGCTGTAAGCTGTTGAAAGTACTTGCGAGTACATGTGAATTTTTACAAATCACTGCTTGTAACGCCGCAACACCGTTGTGTTAATCATATATTACTCTACGTTGGCGTGAAGTGTAAGTTTATTTATGTTTAAAAAGGAATAAAGTAATAAAAATATTTAAAAAATAGTTTATTTATTTTANCGACTAGCGGCAAATATTGTCTCTAGCTAAGTTTGAACTATTAGTCGAAAGACCAGTTAATCTACCGACTCTGCCATGGGTGACGATAGCACTGTAGTAGCGCTTTAGTCTGGGTAGCCTGGTACTTTTTTTAAAGTAGGGCAAAGTCTTTGTACTTTGTTAACATTTATGTTGTGCTTTAGACTATCGACCAAAAAATTGAGAAAATTAGTTCTTGCACAGTTTTTTTCTGCTCTAGTTAAGAATGCGTGGGTCATTTTTGGCGCATTTAAGCCATTTTACAGATATTACGCCACAAAATTACGCTTTGTCCATACAAAATTCCGTAGACGGTGGCATCTCCACAGACAGTGGCGATTTAATTAAACACGGAGTGTCGGTCAGCGCCCGGCACTTTTTAATTTTTGGGTATACTCTTGCATTAATGAAATCTTTACTGAATAATTCATTTAAAATTTTTTTAAATTTCTGTTTGTTTGTACTGTACACCTAACATATATCTATATTAATATAGATTATAGTAACAGATAAATTAACATTATCCAACTACATAAAGCTGAAAAACCAGATTCTTCCTTTCTTTCTGTCACTGTATGCCAAAAAGGACCACTAGGGGCGTCCCTAGCTATTATTTAAATTAACAATAAATTCAGTATATTATTATTTGATGCGGTTATTTGCATTTTTGGCTGCGTTTTAGTAGAGTACGCCATGAGAAATTCAGTATATTATTATTTTTATTTGTAATAGGAATTTATTATTTATACCACGGAATGGCACCGCTGCTGCTAGAACTGGGAGGGGGCGTCCCGGGCTACTAGAATAGAAGGATTAAAAGTACGAAATAATGTAATAATCTTAATCTTTTTCGCCCGGGCAACCCGAGCTCATCTGCTGGATGTTTAATAAAACCTTTTACGGCATTTCATTCAAATTGGACACGATAGACAATGGGGCAATCAGTTGTGAGAGACAGGGTTCGACATACTCGGAACAGATCTATGAAAAATTCCTGAGGTTCCTGATCCAGACTCGAAATTGTCTCTCAGCTCGGCAAACATGTCTTTACCACCTCGAATGTCAGGTTATCTAAAAATTCTGTAACATATTTATTAAATAAAATTTTGCGTTACGCTGAGAATTTTATTTAATACTACTAAGACGCAAAAACGAAATTAGATATAGAATAAACTAGATGTTTATGATGAGGTGTCGTTAATTAAAAGTGAACGTTGCAAAGTTTTAGCTGCGAAACATCTGTAAAAGGTCTATCAGATGACAGAGGCCGGATGGCTGAGCGGTCAAGTTGGCGGCAGACCGCTCTGGGAGACCCGAGATCGAATTCGGACGGGTCGAAAAATTCCCAGAAATTTTTCGCATGGCGTCGGACCAGATATGCCGGACCCTGTCCCTCGCCGCCCCATTACGGGCCTGGCCGAACCCATAATGGGCTTATAAAAAAAAGGCCCTCTTAGTGCCTACAGGGCGAAAAGAGTAAAAATATTTAAAAATAAATAAATAAAAAGACAAATTTTATATATTTCATAAACGTTACAGAAATCCTACATACTACGAATAAATTAATAGCCTATAAATATAAGTAAATAAAAATTAGTTATAACGTTGATAAATTTGATCAAAAGTGAAAAAATACCATATATTTTTGAATTAAAATAATAATTTTAAAAATTAGTTTTGACACCAGAGGGCTACTAAGCATGGTCATCATTTTATTAAATGTCACTTGTACGTGTTTGAAAGTTATATTTAGTTTTATATGACTGAATAGAAGGGTAGAATTTTCTTTTATTACGTAGACGTACAGTACATTAGAATATTATGATAAGATTTAACAAGAATTTCAATGGTTCATTTAGAAAATTAAACTGATTTAATGTCATTTTATGTATTTTTAAAGCACCCGAACCTTTGACGTAACATACAAATAAAGTGAATTTGATTATAATATTAATGAAATTTACTTTGGTAAGCTTTTGTTAGGGTAAGATTTGAACTCTGAATGAGGGCTTTGCCAGCCTCCAGAGTTATAAATCCCCTGGGAACAATCAATGGAACCATACCTGTACACGTGGCCCATCGTGAGATATTCACCTCCAAAGGTCAATTTTTACCGGAAACCGGTATATTGCCTATTCTCCATGCTTTGCAGAGGTCGAGACAGGTCTTGACCGATGCTCTGCGTGTTGTGCACTTCAGTGTGAGCCTCACGCCCCCTAAAATTGTTAAATGTCAAGTACTCCGTAAACTGTCAAGTGGGCTACTGAAAGCCCACATAATTGCGTGGTCGTAGCGGAGTAACATGACTTCCGATTGTGTGCCACCTTGAAGTAGGCTGATTTAGGGGGCTGTATCTCGTGAAAGGTGGCATGTACGGTTGAGGTTTCTTTGACATTTTTGCTCCTATGGATATGGTCTACAGCTCTGATAAGCTACAGTGACTGTCTTGTTCAGAGGTGTAATTCAATGATGTCATTTTATAAGATTTTAAAGCAGTCAAACCTTGGTGCATAACATACAAATAAAGTGAATTTGATTGACTAATATAAATTTCTTTAATATTATAATCTAATGTACTGTTATTCAAAGTGTGTTCCGAGTAATCCCAGAGTTCTCTCAACAACCTTCAGTGGTTCTATGTCAATGTTTACACATTTTCTTTCCATTATTTTCACTAAAAACGTTAAATGATAAAAATTTGTAGACCATACTTAAGTTATGGTCTACAAATATATATATAAGTCTATAAACTATATATAAGTCTATAAACTACAAGCAAAATTGGGTGCATTTGGCAAACAAAAAGTATGTAGTGCTTAATGTTACAACACGGCACTGAGATTGGCTAGATGTCTGTTGCATAAACCAGCAAGTTTAGTAGTGATTCAGAACTCCGAAGCATAATTGTAAATATTTACATGTGGTATATTTCTGTACTTTTAATTTTCTTTTGTTCTTCCGTGCTTAAAGTTATGCTGAAGATTTGTTTGATGAATTTTAAATTTATGTTTTCACTCATTTTTAAGCATGACAGAAAAATATGTTGAACTGAAGTGCTTTAATGCAGCATACTAAATATCTGCTTGAACAATGGTGGACTGCTTCGAGAAAGTGCTGACTAAGTGACATCATGATTAGTTTAATCAACTGCTTCACTAAAGTACCACAGTGCTGCTGCTTGTTAAATGCATCCATTGAATTATTTTTCACATATTCTGTATTTCTTTAAATTGTACTTCTTGGGTTTGATAAAAATGATACTTTGGCATGGGGTTCCGTAGACATTAAAAGTTTGAATATTGCTGATCTAATGAAATATCCAGGAGTCTTTTGACATTGCAACAATTTGTAATGCCAAGAATGTAAAATTTCTATTTTTTTTTTTTTTTATGGAACATTGAACTAAATTTTCCTTCAATTAATATAGTATGGATTTTTTTTATTTTTGCTTATATATACATGCATTTATTTACAAGCAGTTGCTATGGTTGCTACATCCAAAGACTTCTGGATCACCCAGTATCAGAACTGAGATGCTCTGATACCTTAGTTCTTGTTACTAGTGATCATAAGGATAGAATAGGAAGACAACTTTGTATCTTTAATATATATATTTTTATATTCTAACATAAATACCATATGCCAGTTTTTAATTTTAATTAAATAACTTATGTTTGGTAAAAACAATTTCTGTATTCAAGATTTTTGGATAAAATTAGTCAGATAACTACATAATATGTTACCTTTTTCAATTGGAAATCCAGTATAAACTGTAAAATTTGTTACAGATAATACAGGAATGCACTGGTTAACAACATTCTGCTTAAAAACAGTCTACATACAGAACAGAGGTCCCATGTGATTATAATATAGAACAAAACATTTGTAGCCACCTGTATATTTTCTGTTTAGATACATAAGTACTAATCATTGTGTTACTTATAGTCTATATGATTAGTAGATTATATTATATAAGATTTTTCTAAATACATTAGATGTTTGCTTAATAACATATTTCTCAGGATGTCATTCCACATCTCTTACCAATGCTGGCCAACCCAATGCAAGTCATATATCTATAATGAGCAAAACTGTGGCCAACTATAGTTTAACTTGTTATACATTAAGGCATAAGTCAATCAATGATTGAATTTTTTTAATGCAAGTCACCAATACATTAAGCTAAATAATAAATCGATACAAATATAAACAAAACACCAAACTCTTGCTGAGCTTATTATTACTTTAATTTCAAACGTTTTCAGCCCAATTTCAATAGGCCATCTTCAAGAACTATTCGAATACAACTTTCGAATAACTTTTAAATTTAAACTTCTAAAGAAGTTTAAATTTAAAAGTAACTGGCAAGCGCACCGCACGGCAAGCGGAGGTTGCGGGTTCAAGCCCCGCCCCGGGCCAGTTCTTTTATTCCAGAATGTTCTAAATTTATTTATTTAATTATTATTTATTTAAGAGATGGCGCCTAACGCCTACCTCTAATGTCAAATTACTTAGCTCCAATCATTTAAAATAGCCATATTATAGCCTGATAAATTAGGCGATCGTGTGGTGTTATTATCTAATTCTTATAAACCAATAGGTCATATGGGATTAAAAGATTTTTATGAGATAAAGTATTTAATGAAATCAAAATAAATTGTTAAAAATAATAATAAAATTTTTTGGAAGTTACTCTAAATTTATTTGTTTTTTTTAAACATTTACTATTATTTTATTACATTGCATCTTTGCATTTTCTAAGTTTACTTAGCATATAATTAATAATAATAGTAGTATAGCTCGATATAATTCAGCAATCAATTGTCTTAAATATCTTTAGTTTTAAATTTTAATCAATTTAAAGGTATAATTTCTATTAGATATTTTTTNATTTATGTGAATGGAAAGTGTTAGATATTTTTTTTATTTTAACTAAAAAAATGAAATGCTATTTTACAGAACAAAATGACGAAACTTTTTCAGTGGTTAATTGGTCTATGTTTATTTCTTGCCATTTGGTTACCTTTAATAAAGAGAAGTACTGATATATTTCAAGCATATCAGCTTCATATATGGTTGGTAAGTAAATATTTAATTAAATAACTATGAAATTACAAATACAAGTTATGTATGAATTAATAATTAGAATAATTTTTTAAGTTATTCTGATTATAAATTATTGAAAAAAGTAGATAAGGAAAATATGCATTTCTAACAGCTTTAAAAGTAAATCTTATTGAGTTTAAATACTCAATAAGATTTAAGATAATCTAGAAATCTGTGTGTTGTTATGAAAGATTTTAATTTGTAATGTAAATCTTATTTTATGTACTTCACTGTTACAAACAGAACAGCTTAAATATAGGTTATAAATCTACAGATAAAATAAGAGAGAAGTATAATTTATTACATTTTAGATGAAATTCTCAGTTTATTACCGATATAAACTATATAATTATGGCAATGGAAAATCAAAAATGAACGTGAAATGTTCAATGGACTAGAATTGAATACATTCATTTAATTAAGTTTAAAATTCTTCCGAGAATTGTTTGATAATGATAATTTAAACTGTTAATTATTAGTAAAACTATCTATCCAAATTATATTACTTTATATATTTATTAAAAAGTTAAATTTTTAATATACTTAATTAAAATTGTTAAAATTCAATTAGCATTTAATATATGTAATGTTTAATATTTACGTATAATGTATAAGTAATTAAATTTTTAAATTTTTTTATTTCAGATCCCTGTATATTGTTTAGCATTATTTGGAGTAAGTATTATTTTTAATAATAAATAAGACTGAGAATGAGAAATTCATTTTATTTAATAAAAAATTATAGAATAAATGTTTTAAATTTGTATAACAAAAATCACCTTATTTATTTATTCTAAATTCATACAGAGATGATACAATTACATCTTTGTACAAATAATAATTTTTTTTATATTATATTATTGATCAAATTTCTTTAAGTTATCAAAGTTGTAAAATATTTTTGAGTAATTCTTAGTTCAAAAATAATCATTTTTATATATCTTCTATTATATTTCTTCAAAGACAAATTATTCACTTTAAGCAGAGTTGATAAATAATTTATTCACTAATCATTCAATCATTTCTTTATATAGACAAAAATAGTCAATATATCGACTATGACAATCTTTTTTAATCTGTATGTAAAGTGAGTGATGAACTATTTTTGTTAGATGATCACGAATTTTATGAGCAACAGATGCTCGACAAGCAAACTCTGATTATATGTCAGTAGATTAGTTCATAAGATGTTTCATTTTATGGCTTAAAACACAAGTTTCAGTGATTTATTCAAATAGCACCATAGAATACAGGCATACCTCGATTAACGTTACCTCTAGTAATGAAACCTTGATATAATGAAGTCTACAATTTCAATCCCCATTTAACATAAAAATATTAAAATTTTAAGATCAATACCGGACGTCAACCGATTGCAACATGACTGCAACTTGTCACAAACTTCAACTTATAAGTGTGTCCATTTTAACAGTTTTGCACTTTGTAAGGTGCTTTTCAGTGTTGTATACTACAATAAATGAGGTATGAAGAAGAGAATAAATTGTACTAGAAAAAGAAAATGATGCTCAATAGATTAGAAATGAAGGTGGCTCAATCTGGACAAAGAGGATGTAAGAAATTTATTAAATGCAAAGATAATTGTTTTTCAGTGGAAGATTTAGAAAAACTTGTTAACAATGAAGCAAAAGAAAACATGAAGACAAAATTTAAAAAATCTAGCAAAAGTGTGTTAGCAACCGAATACAGATAGCCCTCGGTTTATGCTGCAGTTCCTTTCCTACAAAAGCCGGTGCAAATTGAATCGGCATAAAATGAACCCATATTTACAGTGAAGTATAGAGTTAGGTTCTACATAAGTGAAAAATAAGCAAATAATTTTGTTTATTAATACAATATAATAAAAAAATGCATATAAATTTAATTTTTAAAATGTATTTTATCATAAAATAAAATGAAATGTTTTTATTAAAATATTTTAGTTTCGGATCTCTTACATTTTTCGGAAAAAGTATCCATCTTTAATTGTTTACATTTTTGTTTTCTTTCTTTGAGAATTTTGGAATATGGTTGAATGGATGTAATGATGCTCCTTTTTGCATTTGCANCAAAGTTGTAAAATATTTTTGAGTAATTCTTAGTTCAAAAATAATCATTTTTATATATCTTCTATTATATTTCTTCAAAGACAAATTATTCACTTTAAGCAGAGTTGATAAATAATTTATTCACTAATCATTCAATCATTTCTTTATATAGACAAAAATAGTCAATATATCGACTATGACAATCTTTTTTAATCTGTATGTAAAGTGAGTGATGAACTATTTTTGTTAGATGATCACGAATTTTATGAGCAACAGATGCTCGACAAGCAAACTCTGATTATATGTCAGTAGATTAGTTCATAAGATGTTTCATTTTATGGCTTAAAACACAAGTTTCAGTGATTTATTCAAATAGCACCATAGAATACAGGCATACCTCGATTAACGTTACCTCTAGTAATGAAACCTTGATATAATGAAGTCTACAATTTCAATCCCCATTTAACATAAAAATATTAAAATTTTAAGATCAATACCGGACGTCAACCGATTGCAACATGACTGCAACTTGTCACAAACTTCAACTTATAAGTGTGTCCATTTTAACAGTTTTGCACTTTGTAAGGTGCTTTTCAGTGTTGTATACTACAATAAATGAGGTATGAAGAAGAGAATAAATTGTACTAGAAAAAGAAAATGATGCTCAATAGATTAGAAATGAAGGTGGCTCAATCTGGACAAAGAGGATGTAAGAAATTTATTAAATGCAAAGATAATTGTTTTTCAGTGGAAGATTTAGAAAAACTTGTTAACAATGAAGCAAAAGAAAACATGAAGACAAAATTTAAAAAATCTAGCAAAAGTGTGTCAGCAACCGAATACAGATAGCCCTCGGTTTATGCTGCAGTTCCTTTCCTACAAAAGCCGGTGCAAATTGAATCGGCATAAAATGAACCCATATTTACAGTGAAGTATAGAGTTAGGTTCTACATAAGTGAAAAATAAGCAAATAATTTTGTTTATTAATACAATATAATAAAAAAATGCATATAAATTTAATTTTTAAAATGTATTTTATCATAAAATAAAATGAAATGTTTTTATTAAAATATTTTAGTTTCGGATCTCTTACATTTTTCGGAAAAAGTATCCATCTTTAATTGTTTACATTTTTGTTTTCTTTCTTTGAGAATTTTTGAATATGGTCGAATGGATGTAATGATGCTCCTTTTTACATTTGCACTTCGCGCCCAATCATTGTCTAACTCACAAAGTTCATCTGTCAAACTTTCCGTAGTTGAAAGGATACGTTAACCAACGTAGAGCTACAGACGAGCGGAGACATTGATTGGTCAACCACCAGTCACCATAGTGCATATATAAGGTCAGTTTGAGCAGAAAAATTGAAGGTGGCTAAGGAGAGATAGATATCATCTGGCCAACAAGTAGATTTGTCTCACTAACGATAGTTTGTCATTGCCAGAAGTGCTACTGCGTCATAAGATGTTTTCCTGAACGAACTGATACGGGATACATTCATTGGCGCTATGGATTCGGACGCCATTTATTGGACTATTAAGTTTAATAACTTGACTCGTAGGTATCTAAACGTTTAGTATTTTAATATTAATTTAATGTAAATGTATACATGCTCAATAATATTAAACAGAAAAAATAAATATATTCAATAAAAATCTTTGTTTTAATGAATCTACAATGTCGCGGCACGGTAAATACATCAACACTGAAATGAAAATCAGTGTAGCATAGGGAAAATTGAGGAATTACACTGCAAAACGGCAAATTGTGCAGCAGTGTTATTGTGAATCGGTGTAAATTAAGCTGTCGTAAACCAAGGGCTACCTGTATTTAAAAAGATATTTGAATGACATTCAAAATGATCGTGATTTAGGAAGAAGTGTTGTTGTTGAGCAATCAGTGTTAATTGTAATAAATCTGTACAGGTAATTGTTAAATGAAAGAGGAAAAAACAAGCATAAACAATCAACTTTAGATTCCTATTTTAAAATTTGTGATTTTATACTTGTTTGGAATATGATATTGACTTTTTTTTTTAAAAAAAACAGTTTTATTAAATAAAAAGTCTTTCATTTTCTTTATGTAAGAACATATTTCTGTTAACGCTATACTATTTTTACCACTGAGAACGAAGTTTTGCTTAACACATACTTTTTGTTAATGGAAGTATATTTTTATTTTTGAAAAACTGTTCTTTATTTGAATCAGTTATGATTTGACAATGAGGTGAAATGTCTCAAAAAAAGTTTAATTTTGATTAAAACATTCAAGAATTTCTTAATATTTTTAGCATTTTTTTTTATATATTTGTTTGATTGATAGTCTTGTACATCTGAACAGGTTTAAGAGATGGATCACTTGTTTAAAAATAATCCAACTTGAGCATTTTAAACTTAAACTAAAAGTAGGAAGGAGAAATGTTTTTCTCAGAATAAATATTAATTCACTATCATTTTTTATTTATGAAAATCAGAATAGTCTTACCAATACAAATTTAAATTATAGCTTAGTAATGTAAAATATTTTAAACTATTTATTCTTAGTACGTCAGTAGATGTTTGTTAATCTGACAAGTACAGAACCACAGTGGTGTCAAACTACTAGGAATTTTTGTGTTTTGCTAAATTTGATATTTTATTTTTGATAAAAAATTTCAGATATTACTGTTGATTTTGTACCAGAGCATGCTGCCATTTACTTCCAATTTTTTATGCACACTGTATAATCAATCCAAAGATTATGACTAAGTGGCCAAGCAATTAAAACTGCACTCTACTTCTCTGGGAGACTCAGAACAAATCCAGACAGGTTGAAAAACTCCAGAAACTTTTCAGGGGTATGGTCCATCTGGATGTGTCATACCCTGTGCCTTGCCATGCAGCCAATTCCATAAACAGTTTACTAGAAAAGGTCCTGTTAGTGCCCACAGGGCAAAGAGAGTTTTAAAAAATCCAATGATATAGTGCATGACTATACTTTAAGATTGATTGAAAAACCTGCAAAACTGTTAATGAATGCACTATCGCACAGAATTAACATTATTTTCCAGATAAGCACTTTATTTTTGCATGGGATCTTTAGTGAACCAAGTGTCCAAACAAATTCTAGTTCATTAAATGCTAGCATGCCAGATTACTGTTGGACAATTCTGGTCTATTAGCTAATTTTCAAAGGGTTACCAGTATTTATAGTTATTGAGTATTGAATTAATGAACTTCTACTGACTATGTTCATTTTTATTGTTAATATAACCCCAACAAACTCCATTTTGTTAGTTTCCAATTTAAAAAATCTTGTTAATGTAAATATAACAGTTTTTGTTATATAATCTGCATTATTTTTTTACCAAGATATTATTAAATAGGTTGGTTGTTAGATTTGTTTAATAAAATTGATTTGAGATGAATGATAATGTTATTTAAACACATAATAGACAACAACAAATTTTAAAATTCTGGAGAAACTTTTCTATTTATTTCAGATTGAAATTACATAGATAATTAGAATATCATACTGTAATATTTCTGTACATTTTATGTATTTTTAAAGCACCCGAACCTTTGACGTAACATACAAATAAAGTGAATTTGATTATAATATTAATGAAATTTACTTTGGTAAGCTTTTGTTAGGGTAAGATTTGAACTCTGAATGAGGGCTTTGCCAGCCTCCAGAGTTATAAATCCCCTNAACTATAATTATTTTAATGCAGGAAATAAATGAAGCCAGAGAAGATCTCAAAAAAAGAGGATTCATGTTTGATGGATAAATATTGTAATGATTCAGGTAAATTCTTATACAAAATAATTATATACAGTATAATTTTCTAACAAATATTTTAAATATTTGTCATTATAGTTTGCATCATTAGGAATCATCATTCATAGAGTATACACTTTTAACGATTGTCCAAATGCTGCGGCAGAATTAAAACAGGTTTGTAACTTATTGTTTCTATATTTAAATTACAGTAAGGACGTACACATATTAACACAAATGTGAATTTTCAAAGTGATCTTTCTAATTGCTCTTGCAGATGTTTTGATAATGATAGAAGAAATTTTAGAGTTAAGTCATTAAATTGTTAGTGAAATATAATGCAAATCAGACGAAACTTCTATTTTTAAAATAGAAAAATTTACTGAATAAATTTAATCTGTTATGACTAAATTAATCAATGCATCTTTAACAATGAGTGCAGTTTAAATAATGCTAACACTTTCAACCATTTTCATCCATATTAACCTCTTATTACTATTTAATGTTTAAATAATAAATTTCTGCTACACAAAAGAATTTTTTGCAAAAATTTATTGATGAACTTTATACAATCTGAATTTGATTAATTTGAATTATTGGATAATTCAAATCTATTATTTCTCTTCAAATTTATAATTCAATTGGTGTTAAAAATACAGTGAATTTTTATAAATTTGGATAATTCTAAGTTAGTGTATTTTGAATAAGAAACATAAAGTAGCATATAGTTAATTGATTTATGAAATGCATTCATTTTGGGGTCCTAAATACACATTCTATAATCCCTAGTAAGGAAAATTGTTGCATTTCAGTTACTGGTAATTTAGTGACAGTTAAGTCAAGGTATACATTATAAAAACATAGTTAAATAGTTCAAGCGTGTGCACACTCTACACCTAGTAGATCTTTACGAAAGAAAAGCAAAGTAATATGTGATATTACAAAATGTTATAAACTTGCAGAAAACTAATTTGAATTATAAAAAATTCAAATTATCTATTGTTTGACAATTAAAATGCTTTGGATTACCCATATTCAAATTTAAAAAATCTTGATTATATTTCTCTGTAACAGTTGTAATGTTCTGTAAAATTTTAGATACAAATATTATTCAAGTATATCTTCAGATTTTAGATAAACACAAATGTAGTAGAAAATATTTACAGTAGAACTTCCATTTAACAAATTTTTTCAACATAATACATTTTATTATTTATTTTATCCTTTGCTATCCAGGTAATTTCATTTTATTGGAAATATTCTTTATTTTTCAATAAGGTTTTCCTTTCACATTCACTTAACAAATTAAACTGTCTTTCTCCAACCTCATCTTGAAACTGCAGGCCTGTCTCTTATTGTCTGGAATGCCACAGAAATTTTATTTTCCAAGTTTGCTGAATGATTTACCAACAAAAGAGAATCAGACAAAAAATTAACACACGTAAACTGGAATGATATACTACAAACAACAATTAACACCTCAATACCACTTCCAGCAGTCAAAAGATTTTAATAATCTAACGTTTTCGGCCGTCTTTTAGAGGCCCTCCTCAGGATGAAACATTAAAAAACAGTTCTATCTTTTGAAGGTTTCTACTAATCAAATACAGCTGTGTTCCGAACTTTTAAATATTTAAACGATGCGTACAATATAAAAATCGCTACGCTTACAACACAAAAAAATTATTATTTTAAAATAATGCTATACATAAATTTTTATTGTAGAGTTGTGAAAATTAGCGCAGTGTAAACGATTTGTTTTACAATACTGCTATACATCAATTATTATTATATAGTTGTGAAAATTAGCGTGATGTAAACGCTTTGTTTTCTTATACAAAGCAGAAAGATTAAAAATAATTACACTTCCGATTATTGTTGTGCTTTGTGGCAATGTAAATAATATTCATTTTCGGCCGATACGTATTATAAGTATAAATAATACGTATCGGCCGAAAACGTTAGATTATTAAAATCTTTTGACTGCTGGAAGTAGTATTGAGGTGTTAATTGTTGTTTGTAACAAAAGAGAATACACCTAAGTTTGAACATCATGTTCATAGTCCATATTTGTGTAGCCTCTTATTTTCACATTACTCTCAACAACTTCCAAGAAATGTTATCCAGAATAAAAGGTCAAATTTGTCAGATTATTCTTTCAGACAAATTTGACTTTTTATTTTGTAAAATAGAACCAATCTAACATACCGAATTATTTCAAAAGCAAAATCCGACTAGAAAATTTCTTAAAATGGAAGTTTTACTGTATGTAAGAAATTGTTCACTTATCAGCTGTTGAAATGCCTAATTATGTAATTTCAAACTATAATTATTTTAATGCAGGAAATAAATGAAGCCAGAGAAGATCTCAAAAAAAGAGGATTCATGTTTGATGGATAAATATTGTAATGATTCAAGGAAAAAAAAATCCATTCCAAAATTTGTTATAAATCCAGTTTTTAATAAAATTGAATAAAAATTACATAATAAAACATATATTAGTATTATTATTTGCAAAATTTCCAAAAGATTTATAATTTTTCTTGAAACTTTTAAACTTACAAAAATCACATGTTATGTAAAAACAATTTAGAAATAATCCTGTTTGAAAAAATTAAATTATACATACATAGAAAAATCTCTGAACATTTAAGTTCTTTACAATTTGAGTTGGAATTTATTCTAACAATAGTAATAATATTTGATAGAACAATAGAATTATGTCTACATGATTAATATTACTTCCTTAAGCAAGCTACATACTAGATAATTTAAAGAATTCTTTAAAATCATTTACGTAAGCTTAACACTATACAGTATGAATTAATCTACGGTGTGTAATGAATACATTAAAGTGATAAATCTATAGAACTGTTCTTGAAGATTACATCAGTCTATTGTAGAATTAAGTTTTTATAATATGAATGTCCTTAAAATTTGAATATTATCACAATGAATGGATTCAGTTCAACTTTAGCTTCATGTAAATATATGGAATATATAAAGTTATTGATTTCAGCAAGACAAAAAATATGAATCTACATTATCTGATTTACGAGAGGTTTTTTAGTTCATTTATGATGAACGTAGCTTAATATTTTATATGTGAAAAATTTAAATAGGGATTAAATTCTATATCGTATATCCCTTATTAATATCACATTATATTCAGTCATCACTAAACTTATCAGTGCCTTCTATCACTATCGCTATCTTTGCTTCTACATGGAAATTTCTTATATTAATAATTTACTGTCAATACATCACGATACAAAAATCATTTAATCGAGAATAAACTAAATTTTTACGTATTAGAAAATTTTCTTGCACCAAAATCGTTATTGTTTTTGAAATTTAATTCTTTCCATTGCTTCAAATATAAAATGTTATTACATTTGGCACAATAAATGTTACAAAACTTTTAATCAATACTTTTACATTCAAAATGAGCAATTTTTTTCATGTAAATTTATTAAAAAATTATAATGAATTACAGTTTTCTTAATGGTAAAATACAGGATTTTATAATTGATACATTTCATTTACTTTTAAGGCCATTTACGCTATTGCTCATTATTTAATTACTTGTCAGACACACTTTGATCATCAAAAATATTCAGGATTAAATTGATTCCCTTGTTTTGAACATGTTCATTTAATATATATATATTGATTAAAGAGAATAATTCTAGTCGGAATGTTTGGATACGTTTCATTTGTACAAATCTTAAAATTTGTATTGTTGGAAAATATTGTATTTTTTGAAAATACAAAATCAAGAATATGAAAATTCATTAGTTATATTGAAAGATAATCTTAGAATTTATATATATATTAAATATATTTCACGATTATTTATTCATCATAAAATTGGGTATCTTGAATATACATAATTTAGTAATATTGTGAATAATTCTATTGTAATAGTATTTTTGATCAAATATGATTGTCTGTAAAAAATGAGTTTGAAATTGTAATTTTTATTAAGATAAAACTCTTTAAAAAACAATGCAATCATAAAATAAACTTCCAAAATCCCACATTATCCAATAAAAAACTTTAAAAAACATCATAATTCAAATATTTTAGTAAGGCACAAATGCTAAAAAGAAGTATAGTATGAACATAAAATCTTAATATATACAAATATTTAAATTAAAAAAATATATACACACAAAATATATTAACTGAATTATAGGGGAAAACTAAGTAAACTGATTGTGCGATCCTAATCTTAAAGGATTATCTAGTTGAAAGAATAGATTAACATTTTATGCCTTTATATACATTACACTTATTTATATAAATTAGGAGAGAAAATAATTTTCTAATATGATTTCATATAGACTCGGACAATGGACTGCTTAATACATAAATCCAAAATTTGTGTGTTGAATATACCTGATTTTATAAGTATATCCCTGATTGTGTTTACAAAACTATAGAAGAAAACAGTTCACTCATTAAATCAAACAGCTTAAAAATATTTGTAGAATGTCATTTAAGATCTATAAATTTATATCTTTGACTGTTCTATTGTCAGAGAATGGAGTAGTAATCACTGTTGTCGAATCAATGCCTTGTAAGCTTTTGATAAATATTAACAGATTTTTATGAATCTGTGAAGTTAATGAAGTGAAATTCTGTTAAACGAGAAACGTTAAATTGGGCAAAATGAGCCTCTATCAGCAATTTTTAAAATATTACCATAAACTAAATGAAATGTAATGATGAGGATTAGCATTATGCCATTGGTTAGACTGCACATTCAATCAATCTATCACAGTGGATTTGAGGCAATATTCATGTATAATTATCTACTGTAGTTGACTTGACTAGAGAATTAAATTCTGGATTCTTATAGAATCATAGCAGAAGTTTCTGCTCAACAAATTTGATAAAAATAATTATCTATTATTTGCCAAATTCAAATGAGATCAAGCTTTAACAAGATTATTAATAGAACAATATATGTATATATAAATTCTTGGAAATGAAGAATATATTTCAATTGAAAATTGTAAAAACAAGGCACAAAAATTGAAAGAATTCAGGCACTAAACAATTCAAATGAATAGAATTATGAAAAAAGTGCTATAAAACACGTATGGCACTAAAATAATATGGAGAATTGCTGTGTTTTGTTATGATAATTTATATGTTTACTGTTGTGAGAGTAATACCTGAATGTATGCTAAACTTATTTTGCATATATTATATGTTCACAATAGACTTGTACCATCAAAATTAATTTGTTTTAAAATTCAAATACTTATTTAAATAGCCTGTTTAAAATGCTGGCTTATTGCAGATGTGAACGAAATTTTTATAAAGCAATACTATTGATATTCGGTAACAGAATTTAAAACAGAAATGAAAACTAATTATATTATTAATGAAAATTTGATTAATATAAAATGGAATGTACAAAATAAGATTTTTAAATGATATGTTAAAATTAAATCTTTTAACTTTTCACTTCTGTTTAAATTCTGCTATTATTCAATTATATATATTAAAATGTTCCCATGTTTTTCATTTGATGAAAAACATTTATGAATGACAACATTGAATTCGAGAACCTATAGAGGTCGTGTTCAATGATAAGTTTTTATTTTCTTGCATTTTGATATGACCCGATGTATCGTAAATATATTTCATTGTCGTCGCCAGAGTTACAAAAGCCTGTTCTACATTGGTATCTTCTTTTGCACTAGTTTCTATTGCTGCTGTGAATTGTGGTATCTGATGAACTAGAAATTCTGCTTCTTCAGTTGCTACTTCACGAAGTGCTTCCATATCACATTTATTGCCTGAAATTTCAAAAATATAAATTATGTCCAAACTATTGGAGTAATGATGTGATATAAATTAATCCTTAAGATGATGATATCAAATTATAAATTATAGCTCTGTTTTTTAAATTACAATACTAAAAACCAAAAAATTAAATTTTAACTTATTATATCTATAATCCTATTTATTTAATAGATTTCTTAAATAGACAAACAGATGCATGCATGCATAACACACACACATGTATATAGTTGAACTTGTCTATCTCAAATCTCATCGGAACAAGAAAAAAATTTGAGATATAGTGGTTCCTACACAGTAAACAGTAATAGGTTCAATTAAAGGTATGGTATGGTATTTTATTAATACAATAGCAAGTGAAGTAAATATCTATTAGGTATAAATAAAATTTTTGACATATCTTAATAGAAGAAGTTTGTCAATAGTTTCTAATGCCTGACTTTCTTTAACCAATAAGGCTACAAGCCAAACTTGTAGCCTTAGCCCACCAGTGGCCAAGTGGATAAAACCACTAAACAGGTCATGGATTTGCACCTGGCCACATGGAGTTTTCCAGGTTTACTTCATGTTTTTAACATCTAAGCAGGTGCCAGTTTCCCATAGAAAGTCCTCCCAGCATATATCTGATGTGTCGCATTGCCATAAACAAATTAACCAAACCAAACTTGTTTTGTAGCTACAATTTACGCCATCAAAAAAGTCACTGAGCATTGAAATTAAAACTGACACTTCAGTGCATAATTTGAGACAGAGGTTTTGAAAGAAAATTATTTTAGATAAACATGGAAAATATATTGAATTTAGGATGAAACAAAATGCAGAGAAAAAAATAATAAATTTGAGATAGACAGGTTTAACTGTATATATTTTTGACTCTGCTCTATGGATATTACGAGGGCTTTTTTCCATACCCATCATGGATTTGACCAGACCCATTAAAGCAGTATATTGGATCAAACAAACCACTCAAAGATTTCCAAAGTTGAAAACTTAATCTTGAACTCCAAAATGACAGGCTGATTAACAGCCAAAAAAATATAAACATATCAAATTTTATATCATATTTTATAACATATCAAATCATATATCATTTTTATATGTGAAATTGTTACAAACTAAGACCAATTTTTAAAGATTAACTCACCCACTAATAAAAGTGGAATGTCGGGTGCAGTAAAACGTCGAACTTCTTCCACCCAATGTTGGACACTTTCAAAGGTAGCACGCTTTGTGATATCATAGACAATTATAACACCATTTGCACTACGGTAATAACTTTGAGTGATAGTACGAAACCTCTCCTGTCCGGCAGTATCCCAGATTTGGAGCTGTAAAATATATTTAATAAATTAAGCATAATAATATAAAAGCATATTACATTATTATTAAGCCAAAAATGCTTAACACTAAATCAAATTGGATGTACAGATTCTGATAAAATTATTACTTAAGTTAATAGATTATCTGCACCTGTGTTTGCGTTCATCTACTATGAGATGAGGATATACTAGCAAGAGAAGTACTCAAGAAATTAGTTAAGGCACTTATTTGAAAGGTTACTTCCTACCTTGAATATCAGTATTGATTTCAAGGTATTAATTATTTTTGTTTGTTTTAAAATTGCATATAATTTTTCAGACTGGATTTTTATTGTTACTAGTTTACATTTAATTTCTATCCAACATCCAAGTGCCTAAAAAAAAATAGCTGGTGTTAATTTGTTTAACATTCAGATCACAAATTTCATAGTCATTATATTAAGAATTTAAATGATTTACAATTAATAAATTTTTTACCAGAAAAAAGTTTATATGAAAATTAAGTTTATTTTTATTTTATTTAATTATGAAATATTTTAAATATTCTCAATGATCATAAAGACATCATAAAGCATTGCACAAACATAATATCCTTCAATTATAATCCCTCTTCTTTATGCAAGCAATCGTAAGCATTGTATTTGATTGTAAATGTGGGATGAAGCTAAAAGCACTCAACCTAAAAGGTCCTTTGTGCACGAAAGCATTGTATTGACATTTCCTTCTAAATTATTTAAGATTGTGTGCATCTACCTTCTTTCTATGCACATTACAATAAGGGGAAAAAACTAAATACAATAATTTTATAATATCAATTTATGACTTTGAAAATAAAAATAAAAAAAACAGAATACTATAAATCAGAAAGCATTTATAGTATTCTATAATAAGAAATTTCTTAATGAATATATAACTAACAGTTTTAATATGTAAAAAATAAATAAAAACTGTATAAATATTCAAATCGTACAGATTCAGATATTATTATTGATAGAAAATCTGTGCTTTTAAGTATGTTTAAAAAATCTTAACTGACTCAATCCTCTGTCCCTAAGAAAACATTTATAAAATTTTCATTTTATATCCTTTATATTTAAACTGTGTGTTCAGGAATTGTATTGTTACCTCTAGATACATATGTAGGATCTCTTCAGATGATATCTAACAAAAAATTTAGAAGGAAAGTCTTCCCAGCATATGAGAATAGCTATTATTGTAAACAATTACTATTGGGTACAAAGAACTCCCATAAAGACTTCTACATATGGAAATTTCCCTTCCCCACAGATAGTACCAGAAAACCCAATATTTGATATACACTCAAACCACAATATAGCACCACTAAACATTTTTGCCTTCAAAAATCTGCACAAAATCAAATATGTCATTAATCCAAAGGACATGAAACAATAAGAATTACATAAAATAATGAGTTTAAAGTTTGAAAATCACGATTTGGCAGTAACAATGCCCTTTGCAATGCAAAATCGTACATTTATTAGTTCACAGACCAGAGCATTTTCTATTTCATATTTATGAGAGAGATCTGTCTTGTGAGTATTCACTATTGCTCCATGAAGGTGGTGCCATATTGAAGTTTGATTTTATTAATAAGTAGTATTATATAATGACATTTTCTCAATTAATTACATCTGACAATATATGTAATATTGTTTCATTTAGTTTATATCTAGAGAAATTATTCTGAAAATTTCTATAAAAAGTTATAATTGGGGGAGAAAAAATATGTTGAAAAGTACAAAAATAAAATTAAATAATCTTAGTACACTAAATATATTAAATGAGTTATGTACAGTACAGTACCTGATGAGACAATGTATAGTCTCAAACAAATTAATCTAATAAACCACTGATTTATTCAACCTTTTAGTGTTTTAAGATTAATTTTGTCCAAACAAATGGAGTCATCCATTGCTTAGACAGACATTAAAAAGTTTAAAATCACTTTAGAGCTTTTACTTCATGAATCCAAATTTTGATACATATAATTCTATACACTTATCGAGCTTTGTGATGTTTGTTATACTTATATATACCTCTCTAGGTAAAACATTAGCTGGCTGAGTGCTGTGGTGGAGTTGTACTTAGGCTGTGGACGTAAGAGTTGTCTCCAGCCGGTGCTGTGATTAACCGTGTAAGGTTATATCCAAATTTAAATACATCTGGAAGCAAAAGATTGCTTGGAGTCCGAGTGGCACAACTGGCAAGTGCACCGCACGTTAAACGGAGGCTACAGGTTCAAGCCCTGCCCCAAGTCAGTTTTTTTCTTCCAGATGGTTCTAAATTATTTAATAAATTATTAAAAAATTATAATTATTAATTTAGTTAAGAGATGGTGCCTAATGTCTACCTCTAGTAGCAAATTACTTTGTATTAATTATTTAAATTAGTGGAATTATAGCCTGATTATTTAGGTGATCATTTGGTAATGTTTCTATACATATAATTAGTGNGTATTGTGTTTTATTCCAAAGACACATGGCAAATTTTCCATCAAATTCCTTTATTAGTTGAGTCAACTAATAAAGGAATTTGATGGAAAATTTGCCATGTGTCTTTGGAATAAAACACAATACTAGTGTTTACTATGCCACAAATATAAAACACGACATGGTTTAAAAAAACAAATTATATACTGTATTTTTATTGTATATGAAACAGCACACACATGTCTATATGAAGTAATGTATTTAATATTATCACATAAGTATAAACAGTAATGTAAACTTTATCAAAATAATGAGAAACGTACAGATATAACTTGACACTTTCATTCATTTATTCCAGTGCTATGTTCTAGTTTTAATTTATTTACTTAATTAATACCCAGCTAGATACTTCTTAACCTCGCTAATAACACCTTATCTCGCCGAGAATTATTTATTAGCCGTAACGAATGTTTTCGATCCGTTCTATGGGCCGTCTTCGAGTTTTTAAAGATTGTGGAATATTGATAACTGTTCTTTTTGTATAGAACAGCTAAGAACTCATTTAATTTGTTTAGAATTTATTTTATAAGACTGCGCAGATGAGTATTCTGTACTCTTATTCTCGAAGTTGTTTGATCTGTTTGTAAGCTTATTATTGAAACATTCGGCTCTGAGATGTTTATAGATTTTGTATGAACTGTAGATCGTCTATGCCCTGTTCGCTTCTTGTTCTGTAAGTGTTGCCTTAGATATGTGCTATGATATTTTGTCTATCTGGTAATCTAATGTGTCACATTAGATTCTTTCCTCTCGTAATGTAGAATTATATTTCAGAAAAATGACTAGGTCGCAAAGTGCAATTGGTGGACCACTTGAGTGTGGTCTGCCAATTGCACTTTGAGAAATGCTATTCTTTATGATAGTTCTATTATACGATGATTCCTGTAACCTAATATATGGACTAATCTTAAAAATGTATTTAAATATTGATGATATTTATGACATTGATATACATAATTTTTAAAAATACTTGATATATTATATTTGTGTATATGTAACTATTAAATAAGATTTTTGTTTAGCAAAAATTTAAATAAATTGCCTGTGTTTTTTCTTAATTTTTTGTTTTTTTAACAGAACTTTCATGATTCACAAAATATTTAAAATGATAAATGAAGAAAATTATTTTGCATTGATAATAAAGATTAGCTTTAGAAATCATTACAGTACTTCAGTTATTATACAAAATATGAAAATATTAATGTATTGTTTACTGTATGTATTTATATATGATAAATTGCTTTTGTTTATATTTGGCTTAAGTATTATTATTATTAAACTTTTGTTTGCATTTGACTTATATATAATTCAACATGTAATTTCATTATAAAATAATTGTTTAAATAATATCATTTAGTGTACTAAATTATAAAGTTGACTTACATAAGATNTTTATGATTTCTATATATATATATATTTATTGATATGAAAAAGTGCATAGCAAGAGACAAAGACATGCCTCTTTCAAGCACCGTAAGTAATACAACTTAGTAGAACAGAATAGACAATACATTAATTGTAAACAATCAAAAGTATAATGGTGATACAGTAGTAACATAAGATGTTAGCATACAATAATATATGAGTTATATAAATTCTTTGTATTAACTTACATAACTCGTATGTAGATATCAATATGAATAACAACTGCAAAATTCATTTTAATACACTATAATCAACTCATGTATACCAAACAATTTATTTTCATTGTACTGTATAAAAATATTCTGTACGTGTTATATTAATTTTTTATAAACTTATGTAAATCTACAAGTGAGTTCATTGCTTTTATGTCATCTTTCAAAGAATTCCAAACTTTATAATTAATATTTGACCAATGGATAATCCGAATTTTGATAAATGGAGATTTTTAAACCTGTAATAAATGGATCTGGTATATTTATTTGGAGTAAAACAATTATATATTGCAGAATTTTCATCATTATGATTAAAAATGTATTTATATAAATTATCAACAGAAGAAAATTTATTCAAATTTAGTAATTTTCTTATAAAGATATGTCACTTTCAGTTTGTATAGTATAAAACCAGATTTTCCCCAAAGTTTAACTCCATAATGCAATTTTGGTTTTGTAACTGCCTTATATAGATGCCTTATTATATAAATGATCTATGTAATATTTTAATTTAGAAATAATGCAAATAAAGCAAAATGAAGAAGTAATCAAAATATGAGTAGACCAAGTCAAATTAAGATCTATGGTTAAGACAAGATAATTTATACCATAAAAACTATATTTTTATTATTTCCTAAAAATATTGAAACTTCCAGATCAGAAGGAAAAGTGTCTTTTATTAGAAAATGTGTTGTAACAAACAAAATTAAACAGTATTTATTAAAATTTCTGCTATTTACAGAGAATTATGTTCAAATACACCAATCAAATTAAAGTAAATACATTAAGCAGCCTACAAACTGCTCGAAATGACAAGACATTTCAGATAATCAATACAGTATAAATATCTTGACATCTAATAATTCTTTCTAGTTATTTTTGATATTATTCAAGTATAATTTAAATCCAAATCATTAAAATCAAAAATATACAAATTTATCCAAGGAATAAAATTACAATTTTTGACTTTATAATGCAGACTAAAACTTTTATGAACAAAAAATAATTTTCGTATCCAAGTTAATTTTTGTTAGGAGAAAAAACTGACAATTTTGTTACATCATTTGCCGAAGTGAAGCACTTTTACATAAAAATAACAAAGGTTACAAAAATTTGGTTATTTATTAAAATGATTCACATTCATTAATGCTAAATCAAGTTTTTAAGGAGTCAAACAGATCATTTTTTACTTCAGAATTAAATGTTTTTTGGAATATCTCCCATCATCAGATTCCACCATTATAAAGATTAGAACACAAAAAACATTTAATTTTGAAATAAAACAATCTATTGGACTCCAAAATTCAATTTAGCATTAACAAGCTTCAATTTATAGCTCGGAGATCATCACAAAGAATATTAAAAATGATTTTTTATAACAGAATAATTAAGCAAACATTCATGATACTTGACTTACTACTAACAAAGTTCATGGAATGACAAACATTCAGAGCCGGCCCTACCATAGGACGAACAGAGCAGCTGCTCCAGGCGCTAAGTCCTAGGGGGCACCTCAGTGGTAAAGAAAATTAAAGGGTATAAATTAGGGGCAATCAAGGGGGCGCCATAATAGGATCTCGCTCCATCCTAAAACTTGCCTTGGGCCTGCACTGCAAACATTAACACGTAAATAGTTATTGATATTTGTAAACAATTAACAATGATCTCAACCTTTTCCCATACAATCCAAACAGTACAATTACACCTCTGTATCAGATGTCTGCAACTTTATCACAGTCATAGGAACAAACAAGTCAAAGGAATCGCACCTTTGCATGCAATACAGCCTCCCAAAATCAGCATATTTCCAGGTTGTGCACTATTGGTTGTGTCACTCCACTAACAAGTAAGACTATCGTATTCAATTATTCAGCCTACACGACTATCAGCTTCGAGTACTTGATTTCATATTGTTTTATGGAGTACAAGAACTTGTCCCCGTGCATATAGATCGTCAGCCACGGCTCGCTATCACTTGTCTCGACCACCATCTACAGTATAGCAGTTCGTACCTTTGAAGACAAACTGAAGGGTCACACGTACAGGTACAGGTACAGTTCCTTTGACTTTTTTGTTCCTATGAGTATGCTCTACAGCTCTGTTAATGTCCCAAACGTCTCATTCGGAGCTTGACTTGACCCTATTAAATTTCATTTACATAAGTAAAACACAGTTACATCATCAACAACGGTGAAAGTTACTTTTAGTTACTTTGTTTACGTACTTGTATATACGTCATTTAACTAAAAGTAACTCCAACCGATACATTATACATTGCTTAATTATTCATGTTAGATGCACGAAGACGATCGGAATTTACGCTTTTCGAGTGGGATTTTAATAATAAAAAAGTAACGTTCTAACGATAAGATTATAAACTCGTAAATCATTTTACCTTTATTCTTTTCCCTTCGATAGTTAAGGTTTTCATAGCGAAATCGACCCCTATCGTGTTCCCATAGCGTTGAACGTAAGTCCCGGAACGAAACCTGTGTACGACGCAAGTCTTGCCCACTCCGCAATCTCCGATCAAAACAATTTTGAATAAAAAATCGAAATTTTCGTCATCATTCATATTTACTTCTTATGACACACACACAGACCGACTCTCATTCCAAACCACCAACTGGCCTCTGACGATAGCGACCCCTGCCGTGAAAAAATAAAACAAAAATAAAATAATAATAATAATATGACGTAATGAATGACGCAATTGCCGTTTATGAAAGTACTCGCCCTAATTTTGTCATTTACAGAAATATTCTTCATTTTGAATTTTCTTGACGAAATTCTCTAGGAATTCCATATTAAATGACTCCACATCCGAAATCCTGAATAAATTATTAGTTTTTTTTTTTTTTGTTCAATGTCTCTTGATTATTTAATATTTTTTAATATTATTTAACTTTTTTTTCTTATTAAAAAAATCATAAAGATGGGGATTAAATTTAAATTTTAACCGTTATTTATTTATGTAATAATGTAAAATATTTTATAGTTTTTTTAATATTTAATTTACATTCGAAAATTTTATATATTTTCTTTCGTATATGGCCTTGTAGCGGTGTTCTTTTCTTGTATTTTAATTCATACGAGCAGATGTTTTGATAAATAAACCCAATTTAAAGACTGATTTTTATTTTATTTTCGAAGAATAGCAAACAGAAAGACATCCTTTTACATTATTTAACAACGTGTGACAAAGAGTAATGAGTTACATGTGGCTTTATTTAGTTTGACGAGACGAAAAATGGAATTAATCAAACAAAATAACCGTCTTTTCTTCCCAGCAAAAACTTTTTTTAATCAATTAAACAAACGTTTTCAATTGTACGAACGGCCATCTTCACGTCGTTTACATTCGTGTAGAATATAAATTATCGTTTCGTATGCTTTATTATAAATTTAAAAAGCATTAGAAAGCATACGAGAATACTTCTTGTAAAGGAATGATATATTTAGCATTTAGTTGTATAATAGCCTATATTTATAATACAGTATATAGATCCGTCTAGAGGGAAAAGGTGAAGATTTTTTACCGACCAGGAGAAAATTTAGGCTATAAATTAATGCTATTTTTACTAACAAATAAATAATATTCTACGTATTCACTTGTTCGAAATAAAAATAGAGATAGGGGCCCAGGAAGAGGCAAAATGGGCTCGCTCTACCCCGGGCCCCCATATAGAAGCTTTCATTGTCCCTGTATAGTATAGCTTCAATTTATATTCTATTCGCATGTAAATGACCTGTTGAGAGTTTGTAAGAGTCACTTTAGCAGGCCTTTTTATCCTTTTATTTTTTTATTTTTGAACAAATGAAATACATAGAATGTTTCTTTATTAACTTAATACAAAGCATTTTTAAAGATTTTATTTTTTTGTTAGTAAAACTAACATTAATTTGTAGGGATAGGGCCATTAATTATCTATTCCTCAAAACAAATAATTTATCTTATCGTAATTTATGCCGTTCAACTTTATACGTGATAATATGCCGTAATATTGTACGTTTATCGATTTGGGTCTGAGAATTATTGTATAGTGATTTAGGATATCAGTGACTTCTTAAATTTATTAGATTCTCTATAAACTAATCTTAATATTTTTAACGAAAATAAAGCATATATTTTTATATGATGCTCTATTAATAATTATCGTCGAGAGGGGGAAGCTGGGGATTTTCCCCGTGCCCGGAGAAATTTAAGAGTCAATAGCGATTTCTACCTCTATAAACTAATGTTATTTTTTAATAACAAAAAATAAATTAAAAATAAAGAAACATTCTATATTATTCTCAGGGCCGGCCCAAGAGTTTTTGGTACCATAGCCAGGGCATCCAGCTCAGGGTACCCAGAGTGCCCTTTAATTGATGCTGGATGTGGCACCCCTAAATTTCTGCTTTCTAGGTAACTGCTTAGTGCGCTTATAGTTCTGGTTACTCCATTTATTCAAAAAAAAAAAAAAAGTGAAAGAGGCCCACTCTACTCCCAGGACCCACACCACTCTAATAATACTAATATATTTTTATCGCTTAAATTATGTTAATTATGTTTATATATTATAAAACAATGAACGTTCAATCAAACATATTGTTAATGTCTAATAAAAATTCATAATTCGTATAATTATGTATCTATTTATAGTGTTATAAAATCAGCTTTATTTTAATATTGTAAATAGGCTATTTAGGGATTACTCTCTACGATAAATTTGAATCTGTATGATTAAATTATTATTATACTATTAGAAAAATTCTTAATGCGGGTCGGTAACAACAATCAGAAATTGATTGGCTATTGTTGGAAGTAGACCAGATGTTTCACTTAAATGTGGACATATCTTTCATCACATCTAGAATAAAATGAAAGAAAACATATTCCCGTTGTTAGGTCAACTTAGTAATACAAAAATATTCTTATAATTCTCTCAAATTGGTCTAATTTTCAGCATGAAATACTTTACAACACCAACACAATTTTTTATACTAAACAACTTCTATGTTGTTATAATTTGACATATATTTTAACATTAAAGAAGAAAAAAAAAAAGATCAAAATTACATTTTAATCATTTTTATTATTCTTTAATTCAATACTTCTTGTTTAAAAAATTAAATTAAAATAAATGATTTAAAATTAAGTTTTCAAAATCATTTATTCTAAATATAGCATCATTACCTAAAGTAAAATTATTTTGAACGGTAACCAAATCTATATTAAGAATCGGAGTTGTCAAAGTGCCACTTTTATATGCTTCTAAGAAATTTTATAAACATTAAAATAGAGGTTTACACCTTTAAAATTTTATTTTTCGCTACCTAATTTCGTTCTGCACTAGATTTTCTTCGTGGAAACAAACTATATAAAGTTTTTAAAACAAATTCAACACTAGAATTACTCTATTTTTATGAGTAAAAATTGAATTTTAATATACATAACAGGAAAACTTCATTTAGTATAATAAAAGAAAATTCTAGTTACAATACATTTTAAGAACAATGCTTCTTATGATCTTCTTCATAAATATTATATAACTTAAAGTGTCTATCTTTTATTGAATAATGAATTAAATCTCTTTCAATTTATTTCATTTCCTTTATTCTTAAATCCATCAATAAAAAATAAGTATAAATTATTATCTTGATACTATCTTAAGAACTTAAATATTTATTACAATTATATATATATTTTTAAAGTTATAGGCTAAACTATAAGCTATATACTATATAAGATTTACTATAAGCTATATATAATTCATGATTTAAATTTTTACAAATCAAGATTCATTTAAATCACATTGTATATTGCTGTAAAACTGCATACTGCATTACATAATAATAAAAGTAAAATTTTTGGCAACTGGTCCAGCCTATATTTTTACTAAGTTTGGTATGCTTTATAATCTTTCTACTACTTCATATAAGAATGAACAAATCAATTTGAAAATAAATTCAATAAGAAAATATTAAATGTATTTGTGTAGAAGATAGTAGTTAGGGGTTAAAGTTTTTATTTATTTATTTTTAATTCATGAACATTTTATCTTAAGATTTATTGATGTATTGAATAACACAACTGATATAATAAAACTATAAATATCTGCTGGCTGTAAGAGGATATGTGTGTATGAAAAAGTATATATTATTTCTACTCAACTGTGTGAATTTATAAAATTAGTTTGAATTTTTGATATTTACTTGCTCTTGTTTTTTTCTTTTAGTTTTTCCCTATTTAAGGATTTTAACCTCAATTCTGCTGATGCATCTGGAACAATATATATATATATTTTTAACTTCTACTGATAAAATTCCTACAACTAATGCAAAAATTCAAATAAAAAACAAAAGTAAATTTGAAGTCAAATATCTGATTTAATAAGCTAAAAGAAATTGATTTTTATTACATGGCTGGTAAGTTGTAAATTTTAATTATTTTAATATAATTTTTATGTTTTGTTGTATGAATTTTTATGAAAAAAAAATCGATTGTTCGTCTCAATTCGTGACAAATGCCATTAAAGATCAGGTCAAAGTTTTAAAAACTAATTTAAGTTCTTTCAATAATCTTTCAGTACAGTGACATTGTACAGTACTTAAATTTATGGATATTCCTTTTAGAAAATAGAACTAAAACAAAGAAGAAAAAAAAAAATAGATTTTTAAATAGCTTTTCTATATTATATGAATAATTTATAAATATTTTCTTATTACAAAGACAAAAAAAATATTGATTTATATCGCATTCTAGTGAATTTTATTTGATATATCAATAAAAAAAATCACATGTAATAATTTTAATTAACTTAAATACGACTAGCATAAACTCTTAATAAGAACAATTCTTATTTATCAATATAATTAAATAGATAAATAATAAAAATAATCAATTAAAAAAACCTAGATTTATATTCTATTACTGTAGAACCTCCAATAACGGCAACTTATAAGTGGCGGCCATTTTTTTTCGGAAACTTTTTTAAGTTCATACAAAATAACCTCCAAACGACGGCCATTTTTCCGTTCCTATCACAGGTTGGACTATTAAGTCTTGGCGTTAAGGCCGTTGTTTGGAGGTTTGACTATACTTTAAGTCGCTGTATTACGTATTTTTAATTAGTAAATATATACCACTAAGCGGTTATTTATATATTTTAATTATAACAATACGATTCGATAAAATTTACATATTTAAATAATCCAAATTATGGCATTAACACGCTTCAATCGATTAACCATTAGTAGCATGTATATAAAGTACTTAAACGAAGAAAATTTAAGCTTAATTTCCGAGAAAAATCTAACAATTAGGTTGCAATTATGCAAGTTCCGTTTACTGAACAAATTGCAATGATTATGCTTGAGTTTCTCTTGTCTATTTTTGTCTTTTATAATTATGTTCCCAGTTTTAAAATTTAATTTTTGATAATAATTATTAATTAGACGACATACGAGGGAAGTATAAATCCATTGTATAAATAATGAAGTAGAGATAATTAATTACGTTACATAAACAAACAGCGCATAAATTTAATTCCATCTATACGACATATTTAATATATATTTCATATTAAAATCTCGCGGAAGCTGATGAAAATTCATGAATTAATAAAGTTTATTTAATGCATACTTGTTGATCGAAATTGGCGACCTACGGTAGAATATTTTAACACGATGACTTGGCTTTATGATAGTTCGCTTGACTTGGCTGTAACATGTTTGTATAAAATATCTTTTTAATTTTTTTAATACTGGATTGGATTGGATTGACGAAACAAAGTGACGCAACACTTGGGCGATCTGCCAAGAGAGGACTTTCTATGGGAAACTGGCCCGTTTAGAAGTTAGACACGTGAACAAAACCAGTGACGCGTTATCCTTCGGGCCTTTAAGGAAATTGACTGGAGCCCCAAAAAATTCCCTCGAAAGAAAACACTGTACATGAGATCCGTAATTCAAATTTGCCCCATGAAGCTATAACGTGTCACTGAACAAAACTCACCAAACTCCACATAGCCATCCCTTTGATGGGGGTCGAACCCGCGATTAACTACTTCAGTGGTTTTTATCCTTCAGTGGAGACCCGAGTTTTAATTCAGGCGGTCGAAAACCTCCAGAAATTTTTTGAGGTGGACATTTCCCATCTCTCACATTCCAGTCGTCCCTCATCCAATGATGAGCCTGATAAAAAGACCCTCTAAGTACCTGTAGAGCGAAAAGAGTAAATTAAAAAAATAATAATAATAATAAATAAAATAGTTTTATCTAAACAAGCAAAAATGGCCCTTTTAAAAAAAATACTACAATTAAGTATTATGCCTTACAAAAATTTAAAAACATGAATCAGATTCATTATTTTGCTCTGTTTGCTAAAAATTATATAACCTTTGTGGAATGTCATTTAATTACAGCAAAATGGATTGTCTTATATAGGGTATATACTGTATCTTAAAAATTATCTTTAGCTTCCAATAGTTTATTTAAAAATAATTTAATGTAAAAAAAAAAAAACATAAAATCAATTACTTTCAAGGCCGTATTTGCACTAGGCCAAACAAGTTGCAGCTTAGAGCTTTATATGTTTACATGCATCATTATCTAGTGGAAGAAAGGAACCTTTTTTAGGGTCTAAGTCTAGCCCTGTTATATACGTAATTATAAAACAGTTTTAAAGACGAAATTGTTATAAATACACTTTATATAGGCCTAAGTTATGTATTTGAATTAGTTTAAAATGCATAAGTAACGAGAAATGTTAAAGTTTTTCATTTACACTAGCTTACAGTAGTCTTACATATGTTTTATTAAATTTGTATATTGTTTTTTTCAATGACTTTTTAAAAATCAACGGTCAAATTTCCCGTTAATTTGTACTAAATAGTTCAAGTTGAACAACAACGCTTATTATCTAGAAAGGAAGGACGCCTGAAAGAAGAAGAAAAAAAAACACATTGATTAAATAAATAATACATTTATTCATACAAAGAAAAACGATCGAATGGTTAAATTTGCATACGTTCTCTTTACAGCTGTATTAAAGTTGATCTATAGCTGTAATAAAACCTGTTATAACGCAAAGTCCTACTTTTTCTACGGTAATTTAAATGCAGAACTTTCTAAATTATCCTTCAATAATTAAATTTGTAAGTTTAATATGTACAGGATTTAATAAAATTATTATTATAGAAAAAACAATTTTTTAATATATATTTTTAAAATAAAACTTTCCCGAAAATGATTTTATCATTAAATAAATTAATCTACGAATGTATTCGATACGTTTACTGAATATAAATTTAGTTCCATGAACAAAAGTTCAAACTTTGACCTCCTGCTAGGACAAAACTATATTTAAACCAACTTAACAGTAGGAGCCATAATCGATATCCTTCGTTTTTAGATTAGTACAATAACAAAACACCAGATAACGTATACACTAATATATTAAAAAGAAAATTTGAATTTTTCTCCTGTAAAAAAACGTGACGAAAATTTAAAAAAAAAACACACACACACACATGCCAATAAATTAACCCCTTGTAAAATTATTAATATAATCCAGATCAAGTATATCTTTACAAAATAATACATATATACACATAAAAATGTGTTTTGCGGTCGAAACGATAGAATCACACTAATGACATGTGTGACATTTTAAAGTGAGGAATGCATGTTGGCCAAGTTAAGCGTTGAATCGGTAGCAAACAGGACCTGTAGATGTAGTACCCACATCCTCATTGGTCAATAACAGAGGTGTGTCGTTGCTAGGCGTTAGCATTCGTTCCTTACTATCAAGAGACAAAGTCGTACACACGAATGGACCATCAGTTTATCGCCGGATAGTTAATCGACTTGGTGAGATTTAAAACGTCTAAGAAAGATGTTTGTAGATTGGAACATCGTTAATGAGCATCCATTGATGAAATGGTCGGTTAATAACAAAGGTAGGATCACGCTTCAAAACTTGTTTTGAGTTTAGTTCCGGTTTGCTGATCGATAACTTTATTATTATTATTATTATTGTTGTTGTTGGGTTGTTTATTTATTTATTTATTTTTTCGGGTGTTTTATATTATTTTTAAAACGCTTTTGGTAAGTTATTTGGTTAAAGGAAAGTCGAGTTTGTATTGTTTTAAATCATTTAAACACTTATTACACTAGATTTTTGTGTTGTAAAAGTTAATTTTCTGGTTGTTAATTTTTAATTGTTTTTATTTTTTTAATGTCGGTTTTTGTTGCAAAATTATCAAAGTTTTTTTTTAAATTATTATTATTTATTTAAGTTAATCTTTCTGNTGTTTTATATTATTTTTAAAATGTCCTACCCGACGTTCTTATAAAATTTTTATTTTACATTATATTATCAATAATTTTTAGTACTATTTTCTACAGCAATTACTTAAAATTTGACAATATATAATAATATATTTTCTAACCATTTATCAAAGTATTAAAAAAATTAAGTAAATGGAAATTTTGTTATAAGAATTCTGACAAGAAAAATGGAAAATGTTTTTGGAATTTCTATGATTCTACATCAGTTTAGATTTCTTAAGAGTAAACAGATATTTAATTTTTACTATAAGAAGAAATTGAAATAAATGGATAAATGCTAAAAGTAGAACTCCTTGACGATGAATATAACCTGTAAAGTTTTACAAATCCAAACTAAAACCCTAAACCTGGCTAATTGGATACACAAATGTTTTTATAAGAATAAAAATTACATAGATCTCACTTTAAGTTTAAAATAAATGAAAAACTATCGGTGGTATGTATGCATGCATATGTATAACATATACATCAGTACAGCGGCAAATACATTAATCAATTTGAAAATATTATACTATAATTGTCATTAATATTTTTGCATTTTACAAAATACTTTTAGTATTTTTCATTTCTATTTTTAATTTATGACAATAATTAATCATGTAATTTTATAGCAGAAAGTAATTTAATGTGAAATATCCAATTACATGTAAGTAAAGTTTTTATGTGATCAAACTACATTAATTTTACAACTTAAGTACTGGTAGATTTTAATGAACTGACAACTTGCCATTTATTAAAATTCATGTGTTTAGTTATTAAATTATTTTTAAACATAGAGAGAAATTATCAAAGTGTTGAAGAGAGATTATTAGGCCAAGAATAAACAAATTAATATAAAACATGATCATATGTTAATCTATAGCAAAACATTGAGATAAATATCATGTTAAAAGTTAAGCTATTATATTCAGTTTGCTTTCTTACAGAAAAACAAAAATCTCCAGTTATTTTCTATTTTATTTCTGTATAAAATACAAAAAATATATTGTTTATAAATCAGGTATGACTATGATTTATCTGAAATTCATCTCCATATTTAGAAATTTGGTTAAATCTAAGCTGATCATCTATTTCTATTTATTTTACTTCCTTAAAAAGAACACAAAGATACTCAATTATGATTAGGTCAAATTTGAAGCAATGCAAACAGACAATCAATACCACTTCTCTTTTATTTCGTTTCCATGTTTGGTGATGGTCTTTAGAGAAATTCAAAAAACAAATCTGCTTATAGTGAAAAGAAGCTAAAAGCTTCTTTTCACTATAAGCAGATTTTATAAATCATAAGATGATTTTTCAAATTTAAACATGCTAACAAAGTCAAATNCAAAAATATATAAACTTACTTTTAAGCTATAAGCTTATTTAAAACTAAGTTTGCTTTATAAATATTTTTATATGTCATATTTAGATATGTAGATAATAAGATGTCAATTTTGTTTTAGCTTCCTTTTCCTGTTAGTGAAGGATCAAGGTTAAACCAGTATCATAATATTCTTCATCAGTATTGTTTAGAAAATAAAAAGAAATAACCACATAAATAATTTTCCTTAATAATCATTTGCTATTCCATTTTATAAAATTGTACCTTCATAATACATTATATTATTATTACTTACGTAAGATATTTATAAGCATCTTTAGGTAAGTAATAACCGAATAAGGAAGATGAACATTAAATATTGAAAATAGAGAAAAATGAGAATCATAAAACAGATTTACTGTAGATGAAATTCAATGACAATGTCTCCACATTATTCCTTATCAAATGTGTAAATTTTTACCATCTGATCAGCATTCATGTTGAGTGATAATATCAAACTTGATATTATGATCAGTAACAGATTTAATATATGATATTTTCAACATAAAAGATGGTCAAAGGCTATATTGTTTGTGAAGGAGTGCTAAATTATTGTCATATGCTTATTTTAACTTACTATTTTTTATTTATGTATAAAATACAAAAACTTTTTTATATTTTGATTACAGAAGTAATCAACAAATATTACAGTATAAAATAAAACAGAAAAGATTTAATATATATAAAAATGAAGAGAAAACTCGAAGCTGAATTCTTTTAACAGAAAAAATCCATAATGTTTATGTTAATTTTTATTTATATTACCTCACACACTCCTTTGTCAAAATTTTATATTACATAACATGTTCTTTTTCTTGCATTCTAAATTAGAATGATGGATCTGATGATCTCTTGTAAAGATCATCAGATCCATCATTCTAATTTAACTTTTATCTACAGTTTACTTGCATTAAACTTTTGTCTACAGTTTACCTGCATTAAACTTTTACTGGAATTTATGTAAGAGTCATCTGTATATGTTATTTTGTTGTATATGTATTCCAGTCTTCCATGAAATTTCAATTTTAATGAAAAAATTGTTGATTTTGATTTTAAAAGCATGCATAAATAAGTAAATAAATAAATTAAAATTAATAATCTCAACTTCAACACCTTTTATTGCTCCAGCAACTGTTTAAACTTACAAATTAATTAAATTAAATAATTATCTCAATTAACCAATAGATAGAGATATATGAGGCTTATCAAACTAATGGAGCCAAGAAAAGGAGACTAATTTTATTTGTGGGATGTGCAGTCTAGTTGGTCTAGTGATGACCAAAATGCATCCCACAAATAAAATTAGTTTCCTTTTCTTGATGTGACTCTTTTCTTGGCTCCATTACAGTTTGATAAGTGTCATATATATCTATCTTTGGTCATTTGAGATAATTATTTAATTTAATTTATTAGAGAAAAGATACTTACAACTATATATTACAAATTAATGTTTCTGATTTCAGGTAAATCACTTTATTAGACTAGACTTAAAATAAAAAATAGTAAAAAAAATAAGATCAGAAGAATAATTGAAATATTTAAATACAAAATCTAACTGGAGTAAGTAAAAGTTTTCAATTATCATCAGCTGAACAAGGAAACATTTTAGGAAAGTATAGGATCAATCCACTTTTTCCTAAAGTTTTTAAGTAATAAATAAAATCAAGCAAGTAAGAGGCATTTTATATTCAGCAATCGTACTTGACCTGCTTCTATTTAAAATTAAAATTTACTTATTTTGGTTTCATTGATTTTTAAACATTTTAATATAATTTATGGTTAGTCTCATCACTTATATTTTTATGACATTCTTATATATCTAGTTTTTCTATAATTGTTAAATGTATTTGTTAAATATATAGCCTAAATTTTAAATAAGAATTTCATGAATGAGGTAAAATATATATTAAATATGAAAAATCAAGAAATTTGAAATATCATCATCATTCAAGTTTTTTGTTTGATAAATATTACAACAATGCTTCTCCATTGCATATTGTTTTCCCATATTATTCCATATGTTTTCCATAATATTTTAATTTAAACATTTATTTTATAAATGAAAAAGTAATTGTCTAAGGTATCTTAAAAAACTCTATTAATTAATATAAAGTTGTATATCTCAAAACTGATTTTACAATATATTTGTTTGATGTTCAATAGTAAATATTTTATTTGAAAATGAATTTTTGTTCCCTTTGTTCTTCAATGCTCTTACTTTTTCCTTGTCTTCTAGTGCCCCTGTTTGAGTCTTCTACTGTCTCCTTGGGATGATAGTACTCACTTCAGGGGTTACTGCTATAGTCTATTATAATATGCCCTATTTTTCATATCATTTCTAATCATATTTTCTACTCTCTTTTTGATTTATTCTTTTGGCTATTTTACTTCTAAACAGAGTATCATTTCTCTTTACATGTCTTTATTGTAATCTTTCTTTCTGTTGAATTTTGTATTTTATTTTTAAATTTTGAATTTTTTAGTTTTTTCCAAAAATAATTTTTTTAAATTTCATTTTTGCTGTTTTCATTATATTGATAACTCTAGTTTTCATCATCTAAGTCTTTACTATATGCATTAGTATGTAATAAACATTAACTTTATACTATTTTTCATCTACATGATGCATCTGTGTTCCATATCAAATCTTTCATTATGTTATAAATTTCAAATATAATTTGAAATTTAAAAAATGTTTAAATTGCCTTTTTTTAAGGAATATAATATACTTAAATACTAAATTTACTTTCTTGCACTCTTGGAGAATAAACAGAAAATAAAATAGAGTTCATACAGTTCATGATACCAAAGATTTAACTTAAAAAAACTTAAATACTTAACTAAAAGCATTTTTTCTTATGTACAGATTATAAAATATAAAAAAAAAGAGAGATAATCTACGAGGGTGATTCAAAAAATAAGGTAACAAGCTCTCCTGTACAAATTTTATTTCACAGACAAATATAGTGATACACATTATTATGGCACTGGTACATATTATTTTTCAACATAGTCATCATGCTTGTCCAAACATTTATTCCAACGATATACCAAGGCATCAATGCCAGCAGAGAAGAAATCTGCATCAAGTCCCTTCAGTCATGCCATGACTGCTTGCTAAACTTCCATATCAGTTTGAAATCAATGCTTCTTCAATGGTCCGAAGAGATGGAAATCACAGGGTGCCAGGTTGGGGCTATTGGGAGGATGTTCCAGTACCTCCCACTTGAAGCACTGTAATAATTCAGTTTGTTCAGTTTGCACATCTATCCTGCCTTTATCGAACTCAGTGCACCAAATCCACACCTGTTTTTGTGGCATGACATTACTACTGTACATCTCAACAATTTGACAATGAATTTCTGCTGGTGAGTTGCCCTTCAGACCAAATCACACTACACACTTCCACATTTGACCATGTTTTCGTGAGTGCAGCCATTTTCAAAATTATATTGCAAGAGTCTGACGCAACATTTGCATCATCTAACGCCTGTGCGATAAAGCTCTGGTCTTCTGCTGCTGCCCTAATTGTAAATTCAAACAAGAGGAGGAATATGACACCCACTCTTGTCACCTTACTTTTTGAATCACCCTCGTATATGAGTGAAAGTGCTTTTGGTTAAACATTTAAGTTTTTTAAGTTAAATCTTTGGTATCATGGACTAGGTAAATTCTCTTATTTTCTATAAAAAACTAGTTGTATCAAATATAAAAAATATTAGATAGGCTTAGCAAGGCAAAAGCTAAAGTTTAAAAAGACATTAAAAATTTAAAACTGAAATGATTTATTTATTTTTTAACAGGAGATAGGAAGAATTTTGTTAATATTCCTCATGTCATTGTAATGGTAGGACTACCAGCACGTGGGAAGACTTATATTGCAAGAAAACTAACCAGATATTTGAATTGGATTGGAATAAGTACAAAAGGTAATTGATATTTTTTTAATTATCAATTTTATTCTAGCTATTGGACTAGAAAAATATGTTTATTATTAATTTGGGCCATACCAGTTTTAATTTGAACTTAAAATAAGTGAACTAAAATATTTATATATACTATTACTTTACACTGTTATGTATGAAATAATTCTCTCTCCATTTTATAATTTTATATAGGAGCTATTAATAAATTACATAACCCAGATATGAGTGGATGAGTATGAAGGTAATTGTTAGGGATGAGAGGTGTGTATGTAAACATTATGAAATACTAGGGTTTCAACCCTTGGGTAACAATGATTCATTTTTGTTTCTGAACTGTTGCACAGCAAACCATACTGTTTATGTTACTGCTTTGTACATTATACATATAATTTATTAATAAAATAATGTAATGTTTAGTATGCCATGCTGTGTATTATTCTTTAGCACAGTTAAAGAATTGATTGAGGACATGCATATAATTTTGGGGGTGGGTGTGTATGACAGCATTACAGGAAGGTGGGATAAAAATAGCACTGCATTATTTATGGACAATCCCATATATATATATATATATGATGTAAAAGTTATTATATATTCAAAAGTTGGCGTGAAGTGTAATTTATTTTATTTTAGTATGGAATCTACTAGAAAACACTTCTTTTTATTATTGAAAATACTTCTTTTCATTATTTAAGAATTTTATGTTTAAAGCAAAAAGCACAGCTATGGTTTCTACTAAAGTGCCATAAAACACATCTCATCCTCAAATGCATAGTGCCTAAGTATGACTCATTCCCTAATGAAGTTCGAACCCTGTTACCTCAAATTGAATGAAGACTTCTGGCAAAATTAATTAAGAGCAAATGAAAAGCAATAGCAGGAAAAGAAAAAGAATTGTACCTGGCCCATCTATGCTTTGTAAAACAGTGTGATGCAGAAATTTTATATCAACAATTTCATAAAATAAGAGATAGCCAACAAAAAAGCTCGTCAAACCAGGAAGAAACTGAGCAAAAAGTTTCATTGGTTACGGAAAACTTCGCACTGAAAACAAGTCAATATTACAACTTCATAAATACCAATGTACCAGAGGATACAGTATTCATAAAATGTTGATACGAGGGCCAAAATATATATATCTACTCCCATGCTGGATTATTTACAATTCATACCTCCCACCATGATGGCCATAAAGAACACAAGCTGTTCAGAATTACAACCCAACTTGGAGCTATCTACATTAACAACCATTGCATCACAGCAAGGTTCAAAGACCAGAAATGAATATGAAGGCACCGCAGACAGTAAAGTCATTCCTTGCATCCAAACAGTTAAATCCTACTAGTTGCAGATAAAGACGAAAGATTTGTTCTATGCAAAAATCATGACTTCCTATCAAGAGCTAATGAATTTCTTAAACAATCCAAGTCTGTTATACTAAAACAGGACCCTACATCTACAATATTAAGAAAAACACGTAAGATCATAGTACTTCCTGGAATTGTAGCTTTGTTAGTTGGTCCTCCCAATCCACCAACGAATGTTGCTTGTCCTAGATTATTTTTTGAGGTTAAAACACTCAAATCTGCCTGGCCTTTAAAACCTTTAGTCAACAAACGGTCCCATCCCACATACTACTTAGAAGCTACACTAGCAAAACAAATTACTGCTTAATTCCACCTTCCGAATTTGTGACCACATCCTCTATGGATGCAAAAGCAATCATCTTATATAAATTAGAAAACTTCCCCACCAACTCGTACTGATTGTACAAAGTTGATGTGATCTCCTTATATTCATCTGTACCACATTTTGAGGCTGTCATGCTTGCAAATACTCTGCTGCTTAACTCTGGTTATCCAACATCACATGTTTTACATTTGCATGAAGTTCTCTTTCTCATTACTGAAAATAATTACTTTCAATTCAATGGAAAAATATATAAACAGACACAGGGAGTACCTATGGTTTCCCATTATCACCTATTTTGGCAAAGCTTATTATGAGGAACATAGAACATCATATTTTCAATGCCCTTTGATCATCCAATAACCAATTATGTATCTACATTATGTTGATGATGTGCTACTCGCATGGGAAGGTTCTGTTGAAGACTTAGAACAATTTATTCAATTGTTGGCATCTGTTTATCCTTTGATCAAGTTCACTGTAGAGGAAGAACAAAATGCTAGAATCTCATTCCTAGATCTAGAAATTCGTACGTCTCCTGATCTTTTATTTTCTGTCTATCATAGAAACAACAAAGCACCACAAATTATCCCCACTAAAGCCTTCCAACCGTTAAACTATGTAAATTCTGCTATATCTTCTCTTATATGGAAGGCATTCCTTCTTCCTTCCACCCAAGTACTAGTAGATGAAGAATTACTAATCATTAAAAGAGCACTGTAAAAAGCTGGATATTCTCTCTAAATTTCATTATCTTCAAAATTGAGTCAAAAATACGCTATTTCTGCAGTCATTTCTTAATAACAATGAGAATCTAAAATAGCACATTCTCCAATACCATATTTAGGCCCTATACCTATAAAAATAGTACATCTTTTTAGAAAGTTTGGTTTTGTTTTACCAATAACCCCACAACCAACCATAAGAAGTCTATTATGCAACGACAGAGATATATTTCAATTGAATGAAAAATCTGGGGTTTATCAAATTCCACTAAAATGCTCTGTCAGGAGAAGAAACTAGCTACATAGGGGCCATGGCCAGAATGTTAAATTATCACATCTTAGAACATCAGGAAGACATCAGAAACAGTAGACCATCAGTGGAATTAGCAAAAAAGTGCTTGATTAAAATTATAAGTCACTCTGGGTCCAAACAAAATTACTCAAATGGTGCAATAATCGGAAAGAATTATTTATTTGGGAGAGCCTCTACATAACAGCTATAACATCCTGCAACACCCCAACCCTTGAAATCCCACAATTATGGGTAACATTATTCAAACATTTTTGCATAAACAGGTTTGCTTTTGCTATTGCGCGCTGTGTAAGTTTTGGAAAATTACACCATTCATTATTACTATTTTTATTTTTAGAACATTATTTTAATTCAAATTCTTTTTATATTCCATTCACATGCTATATTTTATTTCAAATATAGTTTGAAAACTTAAAATTCAATAGCTGATGTAAAAATTGATAAAATATATCCAGAAAAGTTATAAATTGATTATTTTGAATAACCTATAATTACTGTAATATAATTTTTAGAAGTTATATTGACTACAATATATATTGTAATATGTATCATTGTAAATCTTTAAGAAAAGATATCAGAAATTATTACAAATGAGAGTAAAAAACCATAATTACTGTACTTATACAAATTTTACAATTTATGTATAACAATATAATGCTGTATTAATATGTTAAAATGTTATCTATGAAAAGTTAGAATTAAGATGAAAAACTATTACAAAGCTGTACAGGATGTCTATTTAAACCTCATCCTAGATGCAAAATTCATCCAGCATTGCACGAATGTTAGCATGTGGTAGATTGTTATTCCATTGCTAAAATATTTAAAATAATTGAAGGAAATAAATTTAAGATGATTTATCATTATATACATATAATCTCTAATTGTAAAGAATAAAGACAACATTGCAGAAATTGATATAAAAAAAGTGAGCTTTGTTTGGTTAGAGAACGTGTTCAAAATGACTGCTTCAGTGGCAATATAAAGATGTAAATGGGCAGGTGTGACATTCTAGATGGCACATAGTATTCTTAATGCCACCATTTTATGTCTGTCATATGCATGTCTTCAGTTTACCAACATCACGTGGCACTGCTGGATACACATTATACACCAATACTTTTAGATGACTTCATAGGAAAAATCTAAACAGGTCAAGTCTGGAGAACATGATCGCCATAGAACAGGAGCTGTGTTGTTCTTTCTGGCAGTTGCCAAAATGCTCTGTGAGCCACTGATGGATGTCTGTCTAGGCTGGCACACCATTGTGCTGGCTCCAAACCTATTGTAGTAGTGCCATGGCAATTGATTGAGCCATTCATCCACCATTATGTTTAAGATGTTCAGATATCAGTCACTATTTAGGGTGCCATCTATTTGTGGCACACATTCTGTTCAGTGATGGTTTTTTTAAATGAATTAATCTTTTGCTCCTGGATAGATATTTAAATATTAGTTATGTTAATGCTGAAACAAGCATGTACCATATGCATACACTTGTGCAATGCTGGAAAGATCACTTTTGCCCCAGGACAGATGTTTATGTGGACACCCTCTATAGACAATACAATATAAAAAAATTGAATAGAAATAAAAAATGAAAGAAGTTGCTACTATTAAAATATAAGATGAAAATGAGAAGAGATAACAAAAATACAGGATTGAAATGTAGATTGAATAAACTTTATGTAAATTTCTAACAAGTGTTAGAAATTTACATAAAGTTACATAATTTTTTTTTCTCTCTTTTTATTGGAAATGATTATGTTTAATTGAAATTATGTAATATTATTACATTATTTTTTATGCTATATACTGTTTCAAGTTAATTAATATCTATATCTAAAGTAACTCATATATTTCTTTAATTTACTTAATAGTAAAAATATCAGATTCCAAAAATTGTCATCAAGTTATATTAAAAATAATTTGAGTGCTGTTATGTTAAATACTTTGCACTCTCTTAGTCATTTTGCAGTAATAGTAATAATAGTTAATAATGTAATAGTAATAGTAATAATAGTAATAGTAATAGTAATAATGTTTGAATTGTTTTTAAAGGTATCTTTGTCTTCCCTTTAATAGAATAAAATGTTACTTTTCTAATTTTTTCTATTACATTCTTTCCTTTATTTTCAATGCCTACTATCCTGAGAGGATCACAAGGCAACATTCTCAATAGAGTGTTCCAATGGCCTCAATCTGCAGCAAGTGAATTCAGCCATCCTGTTGGAATTTCAAGATATCTCCAATCAAGTTCCCAGATGTGATTTATCCATTTGGTTCTTATCCTTCCATATGGTCTGAGTTGATTGAGCTAAGAAAACAGAACTCTCTCTCTCTCTCTTTACAAGTCTTTTCTGAAGTATTATGCTGATGTGTCCAAATTAATGTAATTATATCCTCAATGCAAAGAAACAGAGGCTCAATATTGAGATTTCCTTGGATCTGATATTGTGAACTCCATCAAGCTTCTTAACACCAGTAGCTAATCTTAGAAATCTCATCTCTGCTGTCTGTATTTGGGATCATACTCTGTCATTACCAAATTTATGCCCATAAAGGAGAATTGGAACATAGACTGAGCAGAAGACTGATAGCTTTGCCTGCCTCCTTAGATCTTTCTTGAAGAGTACTGACTGATTTAATTTTTGTATTATGGCACTTCCTCAATCAATTTGAGTTTCTATTTCTGTTTTGCTTTCCATTACTCATGAATGCAATTCCTAAATACATAAACTTTTTCACTTACTTCAATATAGCTCTATTTAGCTGAAAAATATATTGAACAGGATTTCTTGAGAGTCTCAACTCTATGGCATGCTTATTTTCATCCCAGCATCAATGCAAACATCTGCAAACATGTGTATTTTGAGGTTTGTTCTGTGAGTGAGTGAACGGAATCAGCAAATATATTCCAGTGTTTAGAGCAACACTTTTCATCCTGGCTGTATCTTTATCAATCCAGTCCATGTAAACAAATGACAGCAAAAGTGACAGAACACAACTGGTAAAATTTAACAGGCACAGTGAAGAGTTTCAAATTAATATTGTTTATATGAACAGAAATCTCTGGGCATGTGTAAATCTCTCTGAGATTTAATAGTTACTAAAAACTGTCTATCAGTTTCATATTCCTGCAATACTTTCCACAACTTATCTTGAGATCTTTGTTGTATACATTCTCAACATCTATGAAACAATCATAAACCTTTTTTGTATTCATCCAGTATTTCTCAAAGATTTGTTGGAGAACAAAGATTGCTCTATTGTGCTTCTGCTAGGTCTTTGAGAATGTAAATAATATTGATATAATAAATAATAGTTAGATTTAATTATAAATACTTCTGTAAAATAGTTTACTTAATTTTAGGAACATTTTAAGAAAACTTGTAAACTGATTTGAATTAACTTAATAAATGAGAGCTTTCAAATTATTAAAAAATGATGCTTTTGTAAAAATTTAAAAAATATGTTTAATTAAAAACATATTCTTGAAACTTTTTATATTATATTCATGATTATTATTAAAATTTCCTTAACATTTTCATTAAATATACAATATCAAGAAATCTAAAAGCTGAATTTTCTAAATTATTAAATAAATATTAATTATAATTATTAAATTTAATAAGAAAGGATACCTAATGCCTTTCTCTAGTACCAAATTACTAAGTATTTAATTACAGTATTAATATTAGTGGTAATGTAGTCCAATTTAATCTGGCAATTATTTGACTTTAAAATAATTATTGGGTTTTGAGATGTTTATATAGAAACAAGTTTTGATTTCAGCAGACAGTCTATAAATTAATTTACACAAACAGTATAAAAAATACTATTTTTAATTTATATAAAGATCTGAATTCAAATAAAAAATTTAATTTCTTGTATTCCAATTATATTTTATAGTTTATTTTAAAAAAATTAATTTTTATTTTGTTCAAAAACAGTTGTATTTCTATTGGAATAATTTTAAAAATTTATATTATAGTAATGAATTGTTTGTTAATATAAAAATTCTGTAGAAGTTATTGATAACAATATAAAAACTAATGTATTAACAAGCTCTTTCATAATTTAGTATATATATATATTTTTTTTTTTAAATTTGAAAANTTTAAATTTGAAAATATATAATTTATATTTAATATTAAATTTAATAATGATACTCAGATACCTGTAAACATTTGTGAGCAAATAACTATATTACAAAAAATATTTTGTTAAATTAAGATATCTAGTTATTTTCTTCATCTAAAACTTTAAGAGAAAATTTCTTATTTTCAAAAAAATTGCTCAAAACTGATTATACCTGTATGTAAAAAGAAATCCAGTACATTATATATATTATATTGTACAATGGTTTTTAATAAGTATATGTAAATTTCATCAAAAATCTGGTCTTATCACTTTTTCTTTTGTTTACAACTGGTGCTAAGTAATAACAATTTAATTCCTGTAAATTTGCAAAAACAGATAAAACTTAAATATTTTTATAATAGAATAGATTTATTTTTTATAATAAAAAGGATTAAGATTTATAACTGTATTCACATTAATTTTCTTTTTCTTTTATTATAACAAATAAAAAGTATCAAAATCAAAATATGACAAGTAAAATTATTTTATCAAGAATTTATTAAAAAAATAACAATATTAAAATATTTAAAATTTTGTAGCATATTTTTCATTATCCAATATTTAATCTTTTCATTGTTCTACACTTTATATTCATTTAAAGAATATTTTATATATTGTAATTTCATGTGGATAACCCACATGTTATCTGTGTTTAAAAGTGGGTGCCAATTATGCAATGGAGTGGGTTATATGCCAATTTTAAATTTAAATTAAAAACTTGTTAAACAGCTTGTTATTTGTCAAAAGTCATTCAGAGTGTATTTAGAAAATGTTAAAAAATTTTTTTGCATTACACACACATACATTCATTTGCCATTGCAGCTTTTTCTGAAATTACCAAAGATTTGTATATTCATACATAGCCTTTACTTCTTTCTTATTCAATTTCTGTGCATTCAATTCATTCTGTGATATTATTAAGACATATCTATTTGAATTTGTATCTTAAAAGTTAGAAATTTTTAGTAATTATCTATATAATGATGTCATTTCATTTGACATCTTAAGCTATATCTCCTCAAAGATTCATATTGCAATCAATTACTGTATAAAAATTTCTTGAATAATAGTTATATTATAGATGGTTTTTAGTAAAATTGAATTATTGTCCATGAATACATTTCAAGTTGTTTCAGGCATAAGCACACATTTTTATTAGTCTATTTATTTATTTTATTCAGTCTTTCATAAAAATGTATTCAATAATTGACAGAAAAATAAATATAAAATAGTAATATCTAAACTTTTTCTTGCAGGACATTCAAGTTTTTTGTTAATCAGCTTCTTCAATTTTTGTGTATGATGTAATCGTGAGTAATCCTCAGATTTCTGCCAATACTCTAGCATTTCTGCAATATATGAAATTTCATTTCATAGTCAATATTTATTCATTTGTTTATAAAATAATTTTTGTTTTCCACTTTTTATTATCATTGTAATTACATTTCTTTGAAATCTTTCAATATATGGTTTTTTACCTTTCAAATAATGATTATTGTTTGTCTATAAACAAATAATGCAGTTTCACAAAATTTCATATTCTCTTAACACTATTTGAATTATCACTTAACTCAAAATTTCATACTTGATCTTGTAGTTATTAATTCTGATGGAAAGATAAATTCAAAAGTGAGAACTTCAACATGTAAAAATTACTTGGTCTTTTGTGTCTATATCCATGCATTCCAAAATGATTATATTGAATTTACATCATAAAGAAGTTGATTGAAATAATTATGAGAATTTACTTTTTAGTTTCAACAATTTTTTAGGCCAATAAACAGAAAAGTAAAGGTATGAAAATAGTTTCAGACAAAATTTTGAGAAATGTTTATTTTGTAAAAATATTGGTTAATCAGTTAAAATAGGATTGGTTTCATAATGAATTTTATTTTGACTAATTATTAAAATAAAAAAGATAACAAATTTCAAACACTAAAAAATACAAAAATATTTCAAATTTATTTATTAAATATTTTGTTATTTTAATTTTATTTTTATTTAAAAATAAAAATTTATAACTGTAATTATAAGTGTCATTATAAAAATTGAATTGTCAATTTGCTGGTTTATTAGTTTTCTTAAGGATTTGTGATGTTATAGAATAAAATACTTATTAATACAGAAACAGAATATCACTTCTATTTTTTTTCTGTTAACAATTCATTATTCTTATTTTAGTTTTTAATGTTGGTGAATATCGAAGACAAGCTACAGAAGCCTATAAAAGTCATGAATTTTTTAATCCTCATAACAAAGAAGCAATGGCAATTAGAAAGTTAGTAAAATAATTTTTCATTGATAATATTGTTACTAATATAATAATTTTTATATAATAAAAATTAATATATCTATATATATAAAATTGCTTGTCCTGACTGACTGACTCACTGATTCATAATCGCCCAGAGCAAACCGCTGAACCTAAAGAGGTGAAATTTGGTACACAGTTAGGGTACGTCATGAAAACGCACACTAAGAAGGGATTTTTTGAAATTCCCCCGTGGGGGAGAGGGAGAGCATTAAGGCTTAACCGGAAAAAACGGCTTATACTGTACTATTTTAGATGCAATTTTTTGTTTTTAACTGCATTTTAGTAGGGTATGCCATGGCAATGCACAATAAGAAAGGATTTTTCAAAATTCCCCCGCTAGGGGGAGAGAGAGAGGATTTAGTCTTCATCGAGTACTTAGATGTATTAAATTGATATTATTTCAGACATTGTTACAAATATTTTTATCTATTTCGATTTTAAAAATGTTCAAACCATTTTAAATTCGAATTTGTTATTGCATATTGGTTCGATTATAGAACGATTGTAAACATTCCAGAAAATTGATCAAATTGAAAATAGTTCGTTTGATTCTTGGCAATTCTCATCATTCTCAGCAGTAGGTGTTATATAACAATTACTATGGTTGTTAAAATACTGAATATAAATGGGGTTTGCTTGCGAAATCTGTGCGGGCAAAGCTGCAGGTAATAGCTAGTTTGATATATAATTAAAATATAATAATTATCAATTATTCAGGATTCAACTGTTTACTTTTCAATAACCTAATGCTTTAATAATAATTAATTATTAAAGCATTAGGTTATTGAAAAATAGACAGTTGAATATGCAGTATACATATGGAATCCATCGTACTCCATGTATAAAATACAGTCAAACATCTGTTTTCGAACTTAATTCATTCCTAAAAGTTGTTTGAAAACCTATTTGTTCTCAAACTGAAACAAATTTTCCCATAAGAAACAATATAAAATGGATTAATTCATTCCCAACCTCCAAAACAAAGTCTTTATTTACCTTTTTAGCTGTATTTCATGCATAAAAATGCATACAAATGCAACATAAGATTATATATAATATAATATTATCTATATCCATTTTATATATACATGTATATTAAAAGCAAAATGTTGTCATCACTAACTGAAACCAAAACCATCACTTTACAAAGAAGTGCTATAAATAGACATGACATCTAATGACACCAGATACCAGATAATCTCAGTGCCACTAATTTCTGAATCAGCAGTCCCATTGTTGATGAGTTGGGCAGTCAACTTTTTTTAACACAGGACGTATAGGGAGTTGATTGTCCATATCGCTCAAATCTGTGGTCACCTCTTGCCAAGTAGTTTGCTCAGCAACCAAGTTATCATATGACAACTGGGGCAAATATGGCATTCAAAACTATGTTCATAAACTTAATTGTTTGAAAAGCAAGGTGTTCGAAACCTGAAGTTTGACTGTACATATTTGTGTTAAATTTCCATTCTATTTTACAGTAAAATTTCCTATAGAAATATATTTGGTAGTTTTGTTGATTTGTTGTAGTATTATAAAATAATAATTTATATATAGGTAATGGAGGTAAAATAAATAGAGAAAAAAATATACTGTACCAGCTAGAACTGTTGCTTTGAATCAATAATGTATGACAAATTCTAAGATATATGTATCCAAAATATCATTTTCTAGCCACAAATGCATTTTAGCCACGGACAGACAATATATCAGTCAGAAAAATATTTTATTTATTTTGAATATGGTAGGTAAAACATCCCTGAGAAAAGCAATACAAAAGCGACTTTATTAAAATGTATTGTAATAGGTAAACAACAAATAAAATAATAAAATATAAAAATAAAATAAATGCAGACATCTAATGAAACAGTTTAGAATGATTAATAACAAAATTAGTCATAGTACAAATAATGTGTGTATATATAAAATAAGATACAATACAAAATAGATGCCTACATTAGGCACTACAGTGTAAAATACATTTACAAAATTTCTATTATACAATAATGTAAAGTACGTAGTAATCAAACTGTAAAAAAATTATATAATACTTTTTAACAAATTTTGTGAAAAAATTAAAGATTTAAAATTAATCAGAATTTATGTAATATTATCAACTTTTAGATTTATGATTCATTAAAATAGTCAAGGATGAATTAAAGTATTATTAAATATTTTAATGACATAATAAAAATGTTTAACTTTTCTGTGTCTAAATAGCTAACTTACATACATTTAAATTATTTTTACAATAACTTATAATTCATTCTAAGAGCTTTTTTAAATTATAAAATTATTTTAAGAAAAATGAATATTATTACATCTTTATTTCAGTAAAGTGGCATTGGATGCATTAGAAGATATGTGTAAGTGGCTTGAGAAAAATGGAGAAGTAGCAGTAAGAATTTTATTCAATTATAAATTATTGTTATTAGTATAGATTTAGATTTACTCCAAAATTAGAAATTATTTTAACGTTTGTAGTTTTATTAATAATAGACATTTTATTTTATTAAAATCTTAGTTAGTTTTATAAGATTCATAATGAGAATATTACAGTATATTTAAAGATATGATTTCACTTTTAAAAAGTTTTTTAATTCTTAAAATGCAAAGTCATTAGATGCTATAATTTTTCTTTCTATTTTTACTTTATTAGATATAATTGCAATATTTTCATGGATTTACTTCCTTAACAATAAGTTATTCTTTGTAGTTCTGTGTGCTTCTCTCCAAATACTTCATTGCAGATGTAGATCTGCAGCAAAGTTTGTGTTCAGTGAAGAACACCTTATTTTCTTAATTATATTATTATTATTTTCTTAATCCAATGTTGGATCAGTGGTGTTTTTCCAAGAGCAGTTTTACAATTCAATTCAAATTCTATCTTATGTTTCATATGTTTTATTTATTTACAATTTAAAAGTATAGTTCAGTTTTTAACTTTTGTTCTTATAGTTATAATATTTAAAATTTCACCTTCTTATAATTTATTAAATTAAAAAGATTTTTGCAACTATTATAACTATGAAATAATTTATAAGTGAAAACTAAAAATTTTTCAAAGTTTATTTGTTTAGTATGATTCTCAAAATTGTAAAGAGCAAAATTTAAATAGTTATGTCTGATTTACTAATTAAAATGACCTCATTGCTTTTATTGATATTTCAGAATAATTTTGTTCTAATTCTCATTATTAAGTTCTAATATTAGAAGCTTTTTGAAGTATCTTATTATTTTTCTTCATAAATGGAAATATATAAATTTAATATATTTTTTTAACTATTTAAAGCAGTTCTTTACATAACACAAAATAACAAAGAATATTTATATTCAGTCCAAAGAGTTTCTAAATTTTAATTACTTAAATATTTTCTAATCATAGTCCTAGCCTCAGTGGTCTAAATAAAAATGAAATTTATTAATTATTATAGAATATATTATTAAAGAAGTGAATAACAGGAGATACCTTAAATTTTCATACTATTAGGATTTCACTTATAAAATTTAAAAATTTCACTTATTAAAATTTAACAATGTTTTTGAGAAAACATAAATAAAACAGTCCACTGAAATAAGAAAGAATATAGTAAAAAAGGTTAAATTTATGTACAGAAAGAGAGGAAATATTTTCAATTTTGCTTTTATGAGTTGAGATTGGCAACAAAAATTTACTTACAAAGTATTTCTTAAAATTAGGGATGTACAACCTGCGGCCCTCTTTCAATGTTTATGCAGCCTGCGGAGGGTACAGGCCAAATCCCTTCTTTCAAGTGTGTTTATGGATTACTTGTTCTGTTGCGATGTGGGCCCTGTTACCTTAATGCAGTGAAACAAACTCTTCCTATGTTAAGTCTATGGAGAACCTTTTCCACTTCATTAGACAATAAAATTATTACTTACACTCCTTTTAAGCTGAAATTGGCACTTTTAGGCTTGAAAGACTTGGCTTTATTCAATAAAAGTAACCGAGAATCTGACACCTTGGAAAATTGCCACCAAAACCACACCTACTCGAGCTCTTTCATCAAAGTGGGCTTGTAAACAAACAAACTAAAGTAACTATATTTTCTGTTTTTTAGCTCTAATTTTTCTAATTTTTATGTTGATTGACTATTTAATAAAACTATTAATGTTTTATCTGAAACGTTTAGCCATAAAATTTTTTCCATGAAACTCACTTTGGTATGTACTAGGCAAAAAAAATTGTATCAAATTGAACTGATTTTTTTTTATCTATTAGCTAGATAAATTTTTCCTCTTCAAAACAAGTTCAAAGTTTTAAGAGAATAGAACTTTATCCCTTTCGCAAAGTCATTAGCACCCAACTGTTTTATGACTTTCCAATGGGAGCAGTTGAAATTTGTCTATTTTTAGCTAATGCAATTTTTGATTTAGATATCAAATATTTTAAGTCTAATAAATAATAATATAATGATTTTTAGAAGAATCAAAAAGAATAAGATGAAGATGATGATAGAACATCATTTTCAATGTTATCAGGAAGAGTTTCTATTTTGGTGGGAAATTTTCAATTTTATGCTTTGGAAAACTTGCTTATTCATCTAAATAGCATCAAATAACATAAAAATAAATGAAAATAGTGGTGAAAAACTATGAAAATAACAATTTTTTAGCATTTGTTTACATTCTGAATTCTGATTGGTATAGTCGAAGAGGGTGTGGTACTTTCTGGGAAATNACAGTTAGGGTACGTCATGAAAACGCACACTAAGAAGGGATTTTTTGAAATTCCCCCGTGGGGGAGAGGGAGAGCATTAAGGCTTAACCGGAAAAAACGGCTTATACTGTACTATTTTAGATGCAATTTTTTGTTTTTAACTGCATTTTAGTAGGGTATGCCATGGCAATGCACAATAAGAAAGGATTTTTCAAAATTCCCCCGCTAGGGGGAGAGAGAGAGGATTTAGTCTTCATCGAGTACTTAGATGTATTAAATTGATATTATTTCAGACATTGTTACAAATATTTTTATCTATTTCGATTTTAAAAATGTTCAAACCATTTTAAATTCGAATTTGTTATTGCATATTGGTTCGATTATAGAACGATTGTAAACATTCCAGAAAATTGATCAAATTGAAAATAGTTCGTTTGATTCTTGGCAATTCTCATCATTCTCAGCAGTAGGTGTTATATAACAATTACTATGGTTGTTAAAATACTGAATATAAATGGGGTTTGCTTGCGAAATCTGTGCGGGCAAAGCTGCAGGTAATAGCTAGTTTGATATATAATTAAAATATAATAATTATCAATTATTCAGGATTCAACTGTTTATTTTTCAATAACCTAATGCTTTAATAATAATTAATTATTAAAGCATTAGGTTATTGAAAAATAGACAGTTGAATATGCAGTATACATATGGAATCCATCGTACTCCATGTATAAAATACAGTCAAACATCTGTTTTCGAACTTAATTCATTCCTAAAAGTTGTTTGAAAACCTATTTGTTCTCAAACTGAAACAAATTTTCCCATAAGAAACAATATAAAATGGATTAATTCATTCCCAACCTCCAAAACAAAGTCTTTATTTACCTTTTTAGCTGTATTTCATGCATAAAAATGCATACAAATGCAACATAAGATTATATATAATATAATATTATCTATATCCATTTTATATATACATGTATATTAAAAGCAAAATGTTGTCATCACTAACTGAAACCAAAACCATCACTTTACAAAGAAGTGCTATAAATAGACATGACATCTAATGACACCAGATACCAGATAATCTCAGTGCCACTAATTTCTGAATCAGCAGTCCCATTGTTGATGAGTTGGGCAGTCAACTTTTTTTAACACAGGACGTATAGGGAGTTGATTGTCCATATCGCTCAAATCTGTGGTCACCTCTTGCCAAGTAGTTTGCTCAGCAACCAAGTTATCATATGACAACTGGGGCAAATATGGCATTCAAAACTATGTTCATAAACTTAATTGTTTGAAAAGCAAGGTGTTCGAAACCTGAAGTTTGACTGTACATATTTGTGTTAAATTTCCATTCTATTTTACAGTAAAATTTCCTATAGAAATATATTTGGTAGTTTTGTTGATTTGTTGTAGTATTATAAAATAATAATTTATATATAGGTAATGGAGGTAAAATAAATAGAGAAAAAAATATACTGTACCAGCTAGAACTGTTGCTTTGAATCAATAATGTATGACAAATTCTAAGATATATGTATCCAAAATATCATTTTCTAGCCACAAATGCATTTTAGCCACGGACAGACAATATATCAGTCAGAAAAATATTTTATTTATTTTGAATATGGTAGGTAAAACATCCCTGAGAAAAGCAATACAAAAGCGACTTTATTAAAATGTANAATTTTCAATTTTATGCTTTGGAAAACTTGCTTATTCATCTAAATAGCATCAAATAACATAAAAATAAATGAAAATAGTGGTGAAAAACTATGAAAATAACAATTTTTTAGCATTTGTTTACATTCTGAATTCTGATTGGTATAGTCGAAGAGGGTGTGGTACTTTCTGGGAAATTTGAATCAATCTTCTGAAAAGACACTTATTTGTCAACCTAATGCCATTCAAGAATTTTATTCAATTATAAATTATTGTTATTAGTATAGATTTAGATTTACTCCAAAATTAGAAATTATTTTAACGTTTGTAGTTTTATTAATAATAGACATTTTATTTTATTAAAATCTTAGTTAGTTTTATAAGATTCATAATGAGAATATTACAGTATATTTAAAGATATGATTTCACTTTTAAAAAGTTTTTTAATTCTTAAAATGCAAAGTCATTAGATGCTATAATTTTTCTTTCTATTTTTACTTTATTAGATATAATTGCAATATTTTCATGGATTTACTTCCTTAACAATAAGTTATTCTTTGTAGTTCTGTGTGCTTCTCTCCAAATACTTCATTGCAGATGTAGATCTGCAGCAAAGTTTGTGTTCAGTGAAGAACACCTTATTTTCTTAATTATATTATTATTATTTTCTTAATCCAATGTTGGATCAGTGGTGTTTTTCCAAGAGCAGTTTTACAATTCAATTCAAATTCTATCTTATGTTTCATATGTTTTATTTATTTACAATTTAAAAGTATAGTTCAGTTTTTAACTTTTGTTCTTATAGTTATAATATTTAAAATTTCACCTTCTTATAATTTATTAAATTAAAAAGATTTTTGCAACTATTATAACTATGAAATAATTTATAAGTGAAAACTAAAAATTTTTCAAAGTTTATTTGTTTAGTATGATTCTCAAAATTGTAAAGAGCAAAATTTAAATAGTTATGTCTGATTTACTAATTAAAATGACCTCATTGCTTTTATTGATATTTCAGAATAATTTTGTTCTAATTCTCATTATTAAGTTCTAATATTAGAAGCTTTTTGAAGTATCTTATTATTTTTCTTCATAAATGGAAATATATAAATTTAATATATTTTTTTAACTATTTAAAGCAGTTCTTTACATAACACAAAATAACAAAGAATATTTATATTCAGTCCAAAGAGTTTCTAAATTTTAATTACTTAAATATTTTCTAATCATAGTCCTAGCCTCAGTGGTCTAAATAAAAATGAAATTTATTAATTATTATAGAATATATTATTAAAGAAGTGAATAACAGGAGATACCTTAAATTTTCATACTATTAGGATTTCACTTATAAAATTTAAAAATTTCACTTATTAAAATTTAACAATGTTTTTGAGAAAACATAAATAAAACAGTCCACTGAAATAAGAAAGAATATAGTAAAAAAGGTTAAATTTATGTACAGAAAGAGAGGAAATATTTTCAATTTTGCTTTTATGAGTTGAGATTGGCAACAAAAATTTACTTACAAAGTATTTCTTAAAATTAGGGATGTACAACCTGCGGCCCTCTTTCAATGTTTATGCAGCCTGCGGAGGGTACAGGCCAAATCCCTTCTTTCAAGTGTGTTTATGGATTACTTGTTCTGTTGCGATGTGGGCCCTGTTACCTTAATGCAGTGAAACAAACTCTTCCTATGTTAAGTCTATGGAGAACCTTTTCCACTTCATTAGACAATAAAATTATTACTTACACTCCTTTTAAGCTGAAATTGGCACTTTTAGGCTTGAAAGACTTGGCTTTATTCAATAAAAGTAACCGAGAATCTGACACCTTGGAAAATTGCCACCAAAACCACACCTACTCGAGCTCTTTCATCAAAGTGGGCTTGTAAACAAACAAACTAAAGTAACTATATTTTCTGTTTTTTAGCTCTAATTTTTCTAATTTTTATGTTGATTGACTATTTAATAAAACTATTAATGTTTTATCTGAAACGTTTAGCCATAAAATTTTTTCCATGAAACTCACTTTGGTATGTACTAGGCAAAAAAAATTGTATCAAATTGAACTGATTTTTTTTTATCTATTAGCTAGATAAATTTTTCCTCTTCAAAACAAGTTCAAAGTTTTAAGAGAATAGAACTTTATCCCTTTCGCAAAGTCATTAGCACCCAACTGTTTTATGACTTTCCAATGGGAGCAGTTGAAATTTGTCTATTTTTAGCTAATGCAATTTTTGATTTAGATATCAAATATTTTAAGTCTAATAAATAATAATATAATGATTTTTAGAAGAATCAAAAAGAATAAGATGAAGATGATGATAGAACATCATTTTCAATGTTATCAGGAAGAGTTTCTATTTTGGTGGGAAATTTTCAATTTTATGCTTTGGAAAACTTGCTTATTCATCTAAATAGCATCAAATAACATAAAAATAAATGAAAATAGTGGTGAAAAACTATGAAAATAACAATTTTTTAGCATTTGTTTACATTCTGAATTCTGATTGGTATAGTCGAAGAGGGTGTGGTACTTTCTGGGAAATTTGAATCAATCTTCTGAAAAGACACTTATTTGTCAACCTAATGCCATTCAAACTAGAAAAAACCAATCAGAGTTCAAAAAGGAATGTACGAAAGCTATAACAACCAATTATTTACAACAATGTCTCTCCATAGACCAAAAATAGAAAAAAAATTTTTCATGCCAAATAATTAAAAATTTTTAATTATTACATTGGACCAAAAAAACGAATAGTTGGAATAGAGTCATACAACTAAAAGGAAGCTTATTGCACTAAAAAGTTTTGGATTTAATAATTATTTCAAACCATGTCAAGCCATAAATGTGCTATGATTGTCAACACTGCCCGCAGCTAAAACAATTAGACTTAGACACCTTGTCAACAAAGTGGATTGTAAAAATGGTCTATCCCCTGGTCCATTTTTACAACCCTCTTTAATCTTAACCTGCCCTTCTTCAGAGAAGGTTGTGCATTCCTGTTAAAATGAAAAACAATTTTCTCTCAGTAACATGGTTTCCAATCTCATTGACTTTGTGAAATTGTGAATTTTTTTCATCCATATGGTAAGAGTAGCATCTAATAATGTAAAAAGTAAAATATTTGAAAATGTTTTTAATTCTGATTATCAATTTATTTTCTGGTCAATAAAATCATTTGGGTAGTATCCATCTATAGTTCAAAAACCAATTTATTTTTTTATATATTTCACCAAACTTCTATTTCTATTTCTCTTCTTTGTTTAATATTATATTTTATCAAGAATGGCTGATATATCAAAATACATCAATATTTCTATATTAATTTTGATAGAAGACAATCACTCAAACAACCTTGCATAAGAGAAAAAGAAAACTTTTACTTGAACACTTATTTTCAAACAAAGATTTCAAGTATTTTTTTTCATATTGTGATGGTAATAAATATATATTTAATATTTATATATTTTATTTAGGTTTATGATGCGACCAATACCACTTTTGAAAGAAGAAAATTAATATATGATATTGTTCATGGAAAATTTGGTTATAAGTTATTTTTTGTTGAATCATATTGTGATGAACCAAGCATCATTGAAGCAAATATAAAGGTAATTATTACATATGTAATTAAGATAAAAAGTTTTAAGATACATATTTAAAAAGAAATTAAAATTACATTACTTAAAGTTAAATTTAAAAATTTTGTATATTTATTTTGATATCTATTTTTGTAGATCATTTATTTAAAGGATTTAGATTTATTTAAATTTATATAATCATACTATAAATGCATAAGATTTAATATTTAAATTGAAACTAAACAAGGTTTAAAATTATATTATTACAACAGAAATAATTTTTAGATAATGTGAAATACATTAGTATTATATTAAATAAGTTCACATTGAACTTCTTGTAAAAGTATCTTTAACCATTTAAACAATACTGTTTTAACAAAACTTTTAAAAAAGTGCTAAAGTTCTTGATATTTTATTTTAAATATTTTTAACTAATTTAAATTTTCATTCTTTCAAAAAGATGATATTCTGTATTTGAAAGTTAAATATGATGGATGAGATTTTGAGTGAACCAAAATTCTTTTATTCAGAAATCACTATATGCATACATATTGTCATAATGAAGCTTTTGATGAATTTAATAAAATAAATTTAATGGATGGTGAAGAAGTTTCAAATAATAATAAAAAATGTTGGTTTTAGTTCTGTTTTTCCAATAAAAATTATTTGTGAACAGTTTCTTCCAAAAATTTTGATTTTGGTATTTATTTCTTTTTGTTTTGAAAAGCCAAGAATCTTTTACTGAAGACTTAGATGCTTAGTGTGTTTTATATTTGAATATTTATGTTATGTTATACATTTGAAATAAACAAAAGATTTTTGAAATATATTAATTTTTTTCAACATTTAAAATATTTGAACTAATTTTTGTTTCTTGATTAACACTTTTGGTGCTGTTTTACAAAATTTTTTCATACTTAATTCATTAATCAAAATTTCTTGCTATTTTCATGGAAATTTTTGCTATTATAATTTATATTCATCTTTATGTACTAAATTTTATAACATTGTTTAAAGTAAAGTAAGACCTTGCTTAACACTGATTTGATATAATGCGATCTGCTCGAAGCCTAAAAAAAAGCTCAAAATTTATGCTGATATAAATTATCATGGCATTTCATTGATTCGTATATAATATGATTATTTGTGAACACAAACCAATCAGCGAAAGTTGGCAAAAAGGTGTACTTTCTTTAAATCTATGTTTGTTTGGTGCAATTTTGGAAAAAATATAACATCGTGGATGCCATAGGAGATATCGACTTCACTTGCAAGAATTAACTGATAAATGCACAAATGAAGTATGGAAGAAGTTATGGCTGAAGGTATCCAAGAATTGTCAATGAGAAGAGCCTATTGCTGTATTATTAGGTTGACCAAACTCAACCTAATCGATATAGAAGGACTAGGAGATATAGATGAGCAGGATATTGAGGAGTTACATTTCTGGTGAGAGCCTTATCAATGACGACCTTTGAGAACTGGCAGAAGAAGGAATTCATGTAGAACTGGAATATAGAGATTGTGAAAACGAAGGACCCAATGAATTTCTCTACAGATTTTCTTAGTAAAAGTTGAGTAACAATAACCGAAATCATTGATCAAATTGTAGCAAATGATCCAGATTTTGAAAGGAGTGCAAAAGCAAGAAGAGACATTTTGGAGGCAATCTTCTGCTACTGACATTTGCTTAAGGAAAGAAAAAGTGACAAATGAAACTTCATGACTTTATTGCAAAAGAACAAGAATTTCAGAAAATATTCATCACAAAAAATGAACTTTACATTTCTGTGTGCATATGTTAGCATTATTTAACATATATTGTTATGCAAGTTAATATAAAAATAAGCTTAAAATTAAAGTAAAATCTGTTTATTTTTGGTCGCATGTTCCCTATCCCTATTTACTCTGTTAAAATGACCTTGTTTAATGCTGTTTCACTTAGAGCTTTGTTGTCTAGGAACATATCCCCCATGTTAAGCAGGGTCTTATTGTATTTTAGTCTTCTAATTATTTATTACTATTCATATATTCCTTTTGTTCCTTAAAGCTTTTTAATCATTTAATTCTTTGAAATTAATCTCATAAAATATTATTATGACATTAATAAACATGAATAATATAAATTTTTATGATATAACAGAAATTTATTTAATATCATATAGTTTTGTAAGAATTTCATATTACAGTTACAATAGTAATCTATAATGATGATAATTTGTTAAATTATCAATGATATAATTGAGTTACTTTGATATATTATTTTGCAGGAAGTAAAAGTCCATAGTCCTGATTATAAAGGTATGAATAAAGATTCTGCCCTGGTGGATTTCATGCAAAGAATTGAACACTATAAAAAGTCATATCAACCACTAAATGAAGTTTATGAAAAAAGTTATTCATTTATGCAAATATATAATGCAGGACAAAAAGTTGTTGTTCATAGACATGAAGGTAAAATAATAATTTTATAAAGAAAATTAAATACAAAAAAAAGGAATCACTGTATATTAATACAAATAATATGATTAACACCATATTAATCCAGCAAGATTTAATTTACTGCTAAAATTTTTGACTATGTTAAATAATATTCAATAGACTACAAGTAGAAGAAATGACAGCCAGATGGCCAAGTGGCTAAAGTGGCAACCTACTGCTCAGGAGACTTGGGATCATATCCACATGTGTTGAAAAACCCCAGGAAATTTTGAGGGATGGTTTATCTGGATATATTGGGTCTTGTTCTCACTACCCAGCCACCCCATTATGGACCTGGCTGAACACATAATGGACTTACTAGAAAGAGGCCTTCTTAATGTCCATAGGGCAGATAGCGTTAAAAAACATAGAAGAAATATTACAAATGTAAAAAGAATGTATAAGTGAAAGAACAACTTTTACAAATGCAAAAATCAGAATATTAAAAAAATTTTAACAATATTAGAATGGAATGTTGAAAAATTTAAACAAATATTCAAAGAGCAATGTGATTAATTAAGTAAACACTGTCAAATATATGAGAAAATAACATGAGCTATTAAATAAAAATAAAATGATGGTCCTAAAAAGTGTCATTGCCTTTTCAGATTAAGGGACTTCAAACAACAATTTCCAAGCAATCTGTATGATAGATATTGTATTTGTATTTTTTGTTTGTTAACTCAAAAATGTTAGCAGTAAATAAGTCTTGCTGGATTGATTTTGCATTGATCATATTATTTAAAAAGAAAATTATTAACATAACAGTAATCAACTGTGATGACACGATAGTTTAAATAATTATTGTAAAAAATAGTAATACAAAGCTGTATAATTCATAACAATAACGAAATAATATGATATATATATATAATGAAAATATATAAAAACAATATTCACTTTTACAATGCATTCTAATGTTGAAAGAAAAGTAAACTTTTTTTAGAATTGTATTAGATCTGAGTTTCAGTATCAGATATAATATTTATTATGTACTGTACTTATAAGACAATGCACAGTATGTATAAACATTTGATACATTATTTTTGAATTAAAATATCTGTTATTGTTAACTATTTATGTGTAGTTTTGTATAAATATTCAAAATGAAAATTATTTTAAACATTATAAATATGTATCAATTATTATTCCTTTAGTTCATTTTGAGATTGTCATAAAGATATCTTTGCTGAGATCAATGAGATTTTTTTTAAAGTTAGCTTTCTAGAAAAAGAATTATTGATTAACAAATTGAATGTAAAATTCATCATGAACTAAACTAGATGTAAGAATAAGGGAAGAAAAACAATAATAAAATTACTGTTCAATTTCTCACTATTAGTGCTTTAATACTTATCTAGCAATGGTAACATCATATACAATAGTTAAATATATTTGATTAAATAGCTAGTGCAGTTAAAAATTATATTCCAGTTAAAAGACTGAAGGATAATTCAAAATTGACTTTTATACAGTAATTATATAATAAATTATTTATTCAGTTGAGAGAAGTCAAAAAATTTTTTATTTGGTTATTATTCATTCAAATGTAACTACTGTTAATATAGGATATACTAAACAAACTATTTGCTAATAAGTATTAAAGATATTATTTTCATTTTTAATAAATCTATATGATATAATTTTATAAGGAGAGGTCATTGTTAAACTATAAAATAGCTTGACTGAAACTACTGAAATAATAATTTTAATATAAACTTTTTCTTATATTTCAGGACATATTCAAAGCCGAGTGGTTTATTATTTGATGAATATACACATAATACCAAGATCTATATATCTTACAAGAGTAAGTAACATTGATTTTACTTTTGTTTAATTATTAAGTTATTTAATATCAATGGATCAATAATTTTTTAATTTTCACTCTCATATTAAACTTGTCATAGATATAGAAAAAAATACATTAATGTAAAGAAAATTAAATGGTTTTTTGGTAAGGAATTAGTTCTATATTATAAAATTTTATAAATTACTTGTATTATCTTAAAACTATTTGTATAGTCCCAATACATGTGGAAATAGTATTAAATTATAATCACATTTAATAATGATGATTTTCCTCATTAGTTTTTGTGAACATTTTTCATCAAATAGACTTACTTAGCTGTACTTTTATGATATCGTCATGCTATATTCTATCCATCTAAGTGTGTAAAATTTTCAGTTGGAAAAATTTTTTTCTGCTTTCACAGGTTCCAGAAAACCATTGTGGAAAATTCTAACATGTGATTGTATACAAATTTTCTTTATTATCACACAATTGCATGCATATGGCAAATTTCCACTCTGACATCATCAAAAATAATGTCATGGAAGTTGTATAGAATTGCCACAATCATAAATGACATCATGACATCATAAATTTTTGTCAATTATGCATGATGTAATGATGTATGGTCTGAAAGTTGCTATGATGTTGAACACTTCTCTCTGTAAGATAGCCTGAGGCCCCATGACTTTCAATTTATATTTATATGTTTTGTGACTTCATATCTGAAAAGTACAGAAAAATTATTTTCTGGTCTTTCTGAGAAACACCTCTCTCTCCCATCATGTATTTTCTCAGCCCCATGATATTGCAAAGTTTGAAGTTTTCCTTATGGGAGTCTGGTCAAGGACGTTGTTCTGTAAATAAAATAATATCTCATAAATTAAACATATGACATTGAAATGTTGTTGGATTACAGGATTTTTCAGAATTGTCAAATTCAAAGTAATTATATGAAATATAATTAAACAAAAAAATTATTGAAAAATGCTGTCTTATGTTTGCAGTCTGTTAAAAAAAAGTTGCATGTAATCATGAGTTAAAAAATCAAGTTGTTTAAAAATTGATATTTTTTTTTTGTATTTGAAAAAACATTAATGATGTATTTATTAGTCTTATTTTTGTTTTTCTTTGTTAAATTTTAAAAAAACAATTAAAATAAATGTGATTATCCTTTTTCTTAATTAAATATTTAAGTTATCATTAATTTTCATTTTATGTATTAATAATTTGCATATGAAACTAATATAGTATTGAATATTACAAATAAAATAAAATAAAAAAACAAGTATAATATATATAAAATTAACTAAGTAGATTGAATTTGAAAATATTGCTCAGTCCACTAGAGAAATTTCATTAAGAAAACTGTGAATTACAAATGCTTACTTCCATTTGAAAGAAATATCTGTTTTATGATTTAATTTATTCCATTAATAAATTCATAATGAAGATTTAACATTTTTCTCTAATCTTTACATTTACATATTAAAAGTAATTTTAAATAAATTCACTTTCAGAAACTTTGAAGTTAAAAATTTATGTTTATTTTAATTATTAATATATCTAATAGATTAATTAAAAAATAAAGGCAAACATTAGAGAATTGTTTAAATATTGTATCAAGTATTTTAGTACAAATTAAATTTAAAATATTAAAAAAATTTGTTCTAGTAATGCTTTATAATAAAATTTATTGATATTTAAAATTTTTAGCATGGAGAAAGTATATTTAATCAGCAGGGTAAAATTGGTGGTGATGCAGACTTATCAGAAAGAGGTTGGGAGGTAATTTATTATATATACTATTCATAGAGATAAATACTAAATCTTAAGTATATATATTTCTACTAATAAATTGTACATATTGCTTCTATTAAGTAAAATCATACAAATTTTTATATTTAAATGATTTTAAATAGTATGCTGATGCCTTATCAAAATTCATTCAAGAACAAAACATTAATCAACTTCGTGTTTGGACAAGTCAATTGAAACGTACAATGCAAACTGCTTCAGGAATAGATGCTCCTCAAGAACGTTGGAAGGCTTTGAATGAAATAGATGCAGTAAGTCTTATAATGATTATTGTTAAATTATAAATGAAAATAAACAGATACTTTGTGATTAATGATGATAAAAACTGGTCAACAGAAAACAACACACACACACTGTTAGTAATAGTGGTATTCTGTAACTGGTTTGTGTCTTGTTCTCAAATAATTTTGTTTTGACATTCTTTAAAAATACAGTGAAAACTGCTTAAATGACCACCTGCATTCAACAGGCACCTGTCAAAATGGGGAAAAATTTCTAGCACCAAATAGTTTATCCATAGAGTCTTCATATAAGTTACCTGTATTAAACAACCACCTGTGTAAAGTGATCGCAGGCATCAATTTTTGGTCTGAAACAACATACAACTGTAATAAGTGACCACTTCCATGAATATATCTGGTTGAAGCTATTGTTCAACAATGTTTTCCCCCTCCTAATATAATGAATTAGTCTAAACACTTGTTTGAACCCACCTTGGGCACTTCTCCCACGCTTGAAATTAGGTGCAGGTGTTAATGAATTAGTCTAGCAACAAAGGAAATTCATTTCAGTTTGTTCGAAATTGTTTGAAAAATGAAAGAAATGCAAAGTGATGTTAGAAGATCATATTAAAGTTATCACAACAGCAATTAGCAGTGAACTTTAACTGTGGGAAAACGAAATTGATTTTACTGTAGACTACAGTATTTTCCTTGGAAGTATAAAATATTGTACATGATATAATTAATCGGCTGATCTCATCATTTGATAAAATTTATTTTTATTTATTTATTTTGAAGCTCATATACAGTACATGTGCAATAAATAGTTTCTGTATCAACCTACCTTATTTTCATGATATTTTTAGAAAAATAATATCTAAGTAATTTTCACACACAAAATATTCAAAAAACAATAAACACATTAATGCAAAAATCAGTTTTACAGGCAACCTTCCTTTTTCGATTCCGCAATGACAATCGCGGAATATAATGAAATCGTATAATGAGAAAAAATAATAAAATCGTTTTATTATTAATTAATAATTTTTCTTATTGTACTTAAGAAAATATTAAATATTAAAAAATACAGTAATTTTAAAGTTAAAATAAGATTAAACTAACAAATACCAAAACCAAAGTGATGTAGAAATACGACGCACTTGTATATCAATGATGTAATACATGTAACTGAGAAGCGAATGAAAACAACCAAGTTGAATTAATTAAGTCAGAAAAAAGAAAGTGTGCATTATAATCAAGAAAATGCAACTATTGTATTAATCTTTAAAATATTAGTATTAAATTTGTCTTAATAAAATCATGACGACTCCTGTAAATCGAGTTATCCAATAAGAATAAAATACAATACCAATATAGCCCTATCGTTGAAAAAATTTGCTTATTTTTGCTTGCCTCAAGTTTTGCTTAGTAGAAATGGTTAAAAAGTGCACAAAATATGTACAGAAATACAATATTACAGCACCACCTGTATTGGACAACCACCTGTCTAAAAGACCACTTTTTGAAGGAACCATAGGTGGTTGCCATAGACAGGTTTTACTGTATATATATTTTTTCAAATTAATTTATCAATACAAATTAAATTTTATATGTAAAATTGTAATTTTTATTAATAAGTATAAACATTTATAATATCTATATTGTCCTTTTTTTAAAAACGTAAAGAAATGCAATAATTTAATTGATTTTTATTTATTTAGTGATGAGAAGAGTAATAAAAGATATATTAATTAGTTTGATACATAATCACTTTTTTTTTTTAATTTTTGTCTTTCAATTAATTCACTACAATATCATATTAATCATTGTAGAATGAATTATACATTTCTGTGCAGCAGAAACTTTGTAAAAGTTTTACAAATTTATTTTTGTTGATATTAAGTTGATTTGTCTGAAAAGACATATGACAATGAAATACAGTCAACTAATAAATTTTCTCAACTATATTTGGATCTATACTAAATTAAATTTTTGTCTGTATTCATACAGCATTTGTTTCATAAACTTACAAATCATTTGAAAATACTTGTGTTCTTTTGATTGATTTGCAAGACCTTAAACACGTTACCATATATTTTGTTTCATCTATTCATAAGTTTTATTTGCATTTTTATTTAATCGACAACAAAATTGCAATTTGCACAATATAAATTGCCAATATGATAGTTTCTGAGTGATGAACAATACATGAATAAACTTATAAAGAGGAGCATTCAAATTACTCAAGCAAGTTCAAAAACAAATTACTTTGATTTGTATTTAAATATCTCAAAATCATGTTTGATGTATTAATTTTATTTTAAATTAAAAATATTAAATATAAAATAAAATGAAATCATGTGAATCATAAAAGTGTAAGAATTAAGTTCATTATTTTTTAAGACTAACAGCACAAAACCTTTCTCACTAATTTCTAGCCTTATTAACTGGAGTACAAACGTTTTCGGCCTTCTTAATAGGCCTTCCTCAGGTACACTGTGGAGCGTCGGTTAGAAGAAGTTTAAATGCTGCCAATATTTACCCAGGTGTCGTCTTACCCGTGACGTCTTCGTCGATGATAGGTATACGACACCAGGGAGAAAAACTACATACTTTTGGTAAAGAAGGGAGGTGTGCAGATAGGATACTTGCTAAAGTTGGGGAAAAAAGATTTAGAGTAAGCGCGCTACGTACAGGAGATGCACAATCACCACAGGGGG